TGCCCGGAGCCCCCCCTACACTGCACGGTGACTGGGTGCCCTCCAGGAGGGCTGCAGAGCCACAGGGATGCAAGGAACAGCGCAGGGATATCCTTGGATGCAGCCAAGGAACAGAGCTTGATGCAAGCAGCTCTACAGCTCCTGAAGGGTGCAGGGGACCCCCTGTACCCCATCTCTGCCTGCTTCCCCCCCCCCTCAGCATGGTGGGCTCCCCCTGCACCCCATCCTCTCCTGCCTCTTCCCTATGCTCCTATTTGGGAGAGCCCAGCCCTTGAGGAGGAGGAGGAGGAGGATCCACCAGGAAACCTTGTGGGAATGCCAGAGCTGACAAGTGGCCATCCTGGGAGACAACAAAGTGCCGCTGTTCTCCGGGACAGAGCCCTCGTGATCCAACAGGACTTGCCCATCCCTTCCCACTGGGGGATCAAAGCCTGCAAGAAACCTCCTCCTCCTCCTCCTCATCATCATCTCAGGGTGGGGAGGCCACGAGGAACCCCAAGGCTCACCCTGGGATGCAGGGATGGGAGCGATGCAGTGGGATGAGGGTCCTTAGGGATGGTGTGAGCTCCCGGGGCTGCAGGATAGGGCTGGGGAGGGGGGGGGAGAAGGGGGGGATGCCTGGGAATAAAGGGAGCAGACTGGGGTCCATTGTTTCATTGTTCTGGCTTCAAAGGACAATGGGGCATTGTTGTCTCTGGGGATCCCATTGTTTGCTTTCGCTGCAGTGGATGGAGGCTTCCCGAGGGCCAGCCCGGCGCTGTGTGTGGGACACTAAAGAATGAGCTTCCATGGTTCCTGCCCCAGCACCCTGCTGGGCCATGGGAGCAAGCAGAGACCCCCCCTTTGCACCCAACGGAGATGGGGTGAGAGCAGGGAGGGTTTTCTCCCTGCAGCCCCCCCAGCAAACCAGGGTGAGGGGGATAAACCCACCCTGCTTTCATGATGGGAGCTGAAGCCACATCTGCTGCTGGATGGGGCTTTGGTTGCTGTTCCCCTCTCTGGATCCATAGGAGCTGCCCCATGGCCACTTGGCACCATTCCTATGTTTCCCTTTCCTCCTCTCGCCACCCAGCATCCCCTCAACACTGACATTCCCCATGCACACAGGACAAGGAAATCTCCATAGCAGAGCCCCACTTCTCCATCAGTACCAAGGAAAAGGGACTCGGTACCAATGATGCCACAGCCCTGGGGTCCTCCCTTTGCTGTTTGTGCAGCACCCCAAGCCCAGGAGCTTCTTTTGCATAGCTCCTTCCTATGTAAAATCAATGTGGGTGCTATGCAAAGGCTGGGGGGAGGGAGAAGGAGCCAGGAGCCATTCCCAGCCCACAGCTGAGCCCTCCGGTGCCGGAGGTGGGCTGGGAGATTGATGGAGCAGGGAAGAGATATGCTCTCCCCAGGGATGCTCTTCCAGCATGAGGCTGCTCACAGCAGCCGGGAAGGGGAGGAAGCCTCCACCGCCCAAATCAATGCACCTCAGTGCTCCCTGGGTACCCTCCGAGGGGGAAAAGCCCATCTCAGGCTGTTGGTAGCCCCAGACCAAGCTCAGCTTTGCAAGAGCAAACACCAAGCTTGGGGCTTTCAAAGAGAGGGAAGAACTGCAGCTGATAAGAGGTATAACATCAACCTGGGCCTCTTTGGTTGGGAATTCCCACTGCTTCTAATCAGAAGATGAGGATGGACCTTGCCTCGCAAATGCATCCAAGGTTAATTTCCAGACAAAGCAGCGAGGGATTTGTTTGGGGATCAATGGAAGCTGTTTGGGAATAAAAGAAGGTGAGATAAGAGATGCTGGATCATGGCACCGCAGCACTGCCTGCCCTGATGGAGCAAGGGGATGCTCCTCCCTTGAGGAGCCTGCCCCAAGGGCACCCATCCATCCCCTGGCTCTAGGAGCTGCTCCCTGGATCCCTGGGGACCCTTGGAGCCTCCAGCCCCAGCCTGGGTGCGCACAGGAAGCTCGTCCCGCTCCGGGGGCTCTTTCATGCTCCTGGCAAGCGCCCCGTGCACACACACATGTAGAGGCACACAGGGACACGGCCCCCCCTTGAACAGCACCGTTTCCTCTCAGATAAAGCACTCCTACCGCAGCCCCCCTTTCCCTCTCCCCCCCAGACTTGTGCTTGTCTCACGCACCCCGTTCGGAGCCCACCTTGGCCTCGGATCTTATCTCACTTCCTCGCTGTGAATATTGGCTGTGTTGTTGATGTACGATAAAGGGATGGGCTCCGAACCCTGCGCCCCGGCTCACAACAAAGCCCTCTCGAGAGCGGATGCTGGTACCTGCTGCACGAACCCGGCTCCACCAAAGCGTGGCTCCCGTTGGCGCTGCTCCTGTCCCCCCCCAACACCTGCATGGGGCAGAGGGGCCCCAAGGGCAGCCCAGGGCTGCTGGTGCTGACACAGAGCATGGCCAGGGCAAAGCTGCCCTTGATTCTGCAGCATCTTCGTGTATAAAACACAGCCAAACAACCCTTTAACCATCCCTCTCCTGGACCTGGCTCCCTCTTAGCTCAGTTTACAAAGTGAAAAGCAACCTCCTGAGTCTCCTTAACTCTTAACCCCCCCAACAGGGAGCAGAAGAGAAACATCCCTGGCAAAGTCAGCTTTATGGATGGACCAGATTGCTGGCAGCAGGAGCGGCAGGGAGGCAGCACGCAGCGCTGTTCCACTCAGCTGAGGGCATCGCACCACGCCATCAGCCATCAGCCCCCCCAGGGACTGTTAGATATTGCTCCTATTTCACAGACAAGAGGCTGGAGAACGGCAGATAAGGCAAAGCAGCAGCTGAGATCAGGGCTGGATGCACAGGAAAGGGCAGTCTGCTTTGGAAGCTCTGGTCCTTGCAGGAAGGCAAAGCCTTCAGGCACCTATTCTAGTGAGGCAGGCACATCCTAGAACAGGACCTGAGCATCCTGGTTCTTAATACATATAGTCAAACAAGCTGTCCAAACCTGGAGCTGTATCCCAGCCCATCCAGACCCCAGATCCTGCCCCACGGAGCAGAGCTGTTAAACATCAATCTCTATTTCCCACTGCAGACAGACCGGTATCATTCAGAACAAGCCCAGAGAACTGTGATGCGTACAAACACATCCCAAAGACAAGTGTGTGTGTGGGGGGAAATCAGGCTTAAACATCACAGCTGGAGGCCCAGGAAAACCACGGGGAACAGGGATGTCTTTGGGGTGACGGGGTTGACGCGACAGCTTGGAAATGCATGGGAAATAGGGGAATAAAGCCCAGGTGAGGATGAGGGGCACGGAAAGAGGCAGTGCGGCCGGTCCAGCCCCACACTGAAGGCCCTGGTATGCGAGGCAGCGGCGCGGGGGGCAGGCTGAGCTGCGAGTGTGGCAGTGTCCCCGCCGAGGGCAGGCACGGCGCCCGGAGCTCCGTTTTTCCAAGCGATGTTCCAAACAATAGCAATGATGCCCCTGGTGGGTCTGAATGTGAAAAGGCCCCACGGGGGGGGGGGTGCCATGCTGGGCACCTTGTGTGTGGGCTGCCAATGGAGACGGGACTGGGGCATTGCCAGCAACAGAACCTGCTGGAGCCAGTTCGTGGCCACAGCCCCTCTGCTCCTGGCATCCCGCTGCTCCTGGTACCAGCCCACTCACAGCCAAAGCAGGGCTCGGCTTTATTGCCCATGGACATGGTGAAAACAATCCCAAACGGCTCCATTGCCAGCGTAAGAACAGGGAGGGAATAGGGGAAAGCAGCACAGTGCATCCCAGCTCCTGCCTCTGCCTCCACACGGGTTTTCCATGTTCCGATGGTGCCCTAAGGGGAGGGCTTCTAAAGCATTCAAGTCCTTGACCTTCCACTGTTGTCTGTTTGATGCTATTATTTTTAGGCACACAAGCCTTAAAACATACCAGCACTTGAAATAAGTTCCCTGATAACGTGCACTAAAGCAGGAGGTGGTGAGAAGGGCTCAAGGAGGGTGGCAGGGCATAGGAAAGGTGATTTTCCCCTTGTACAACCACACATCCCACCTTATTGCACAAGGCACAGGCCTGCAAACACACTAAATGCTGATGGTAGCCCAAGCTCAGCAAGTCGCCACGGACACAAGGTGTCTGCTCCTGTTTGTGATGCTCCTGCCAGCACAGGCCATGCCCTGCATCCCTGAGCAAAGGTGCAGCGATGCCTTTTAAGAGCCAGGAAAGGCACCAACCTGCAGGCAGGCGGCTGGCTCTGGGATCTAGGTTCAAACTGAACTTCAAACACACATAAAACCATCCCATAAATCACGATATCCTACAAAAGAACCACAGAGCTGATGCTCCCCTCCAGAAAGGCAGGACCAATGTGCCTGCTCCTCAGGGGACTCTTTCACAAGCACGGAGAAGGATGGGGCTGGGCCAGGACAAGCAATTCCCAGTGCAGAAGGGAAGAACTGCAGCCTTTTTTCCCAGAACCCCATAGCCACAGGCAGGGAAAAGGCACAAACATTTACTCACAGCATCTTCCAGGGCTGGTTAAAGGTGGGGTCACCTCTGAAGGAGAAACCTCAGACACTGCGGAGCCCCAGCTGGTTGTGAGTGCGCTCTCACCTGCCCCAATGCTCTCCAACTGGAGCACCAGCTCTGTCTTACACACTCTGTGCCAGCATTTGCACAGAAGCAGGTCTCAATCACTTGTTTTTAACAAAGAGAGAGCTCTGCTCCTAGCAAACAGCCATTTGGGGTGCAGTGGGATGCTATCCAAGCTGGATTTGGGGAGCTGACAGATCCTCCCAAGGAACTTTTCTCCTCCAAACCTAGAGATGCAGGAACACTCCAGCGTGGGATTAGCACCACAACCCAGCACTGGTGCACTCCTCATAATCCCACCTCAAGGCATCTTCAAACGGAACCTTGAACCCATCGCCCTCCCCTGCACAGAGGGGATGGATCCAAGACCAAGGATCGCCTGCAAAAGCAACCACCAAGGCAGCAGCAAAGCCAAGCAAGGGGAGTTCTCCAAGCCCAGAGCCCAGCTGTAAGCACTCACTCTACCTTGCTCCTCCTCAGGGCCAAAACCAGAACCTTCTACTGCTCATCCCCCTCCGCAGCAGGAAGCCCAGGAGCTCCGGGCACCCCGTCACCCATCGGAGGGCAGCCCCGCACCGCTCTGCTTCTCTTCCAGGTTGTTTGGGAGCCAGGAAAGCTGCTTGAATGCTGCGGGAACTCAGTGTTCTTGTGACACTCGGCTGCAGGGGCAGGGAGGTGGCCGAGGCCGCAGCACCCTCTTCTGTCTACCGCACTCTTCTGCAGGGAGAGTCTCTCTGGCAGTGCACAGCTCCAGGCAGCTCCCTCCAGACGTTACCTTCCTGCTCCCTGCAGCTTGGAAACACTCAGGAGGCTGGAAGGATTCGGGGTTAAAAACAAACCAGCAAGCGTTTAGATGAGTCAGTGGTGTGGTTTTATGAGGACAGACAAGTGCTTCTTGGGAAGCCAGTTTGGAATTGTTTTTGTGGCCCGTCGCTGGGCTGGTAATGCCTGGAAGCTGTGTTCTTGGACCACAGCACTCGAGTGCCAAGAGCTCCTCAAACAATGGGGCTGTGTTTCCTCCTGGACTCTCCTGCAGGCTCTGTGCCGTTTTCATGGCTTCCTGCTGGGGAGCTTCTCCTTTCCTTCTGCAACTCCCCCACGCACGTAATTACAGCCCATTTTGGTACCTTATCATGAGATGCTTCAGAGCTGATTACCCCTGAGCTTCCTTCCTCCCATCATCAACCTCCTCCAATATTGGTGTTCGCTGGCGCTAATTCGATGCTATCACGGAGCAGAGGAGCTTTAGGAGGCATTAGGGTGACTCCAAGTGCACAATCTGGAGCTGGCAGCAGCGCTGCTGATAAGAACCAGGTTCTGCTCCTCACATCCAGCTCTTCTCCAAGGAGCAGCCGCTCGCCAGCCACGTGTGAGGCGGAAGGAGGACGGAGCCGCACAGGCTCTGAGCCAGTGTTATTCCAGTGGCCCTGGATTAAAAGTGGAGCCAAGTGACATGATGCAACCCAGGCCATTAAATAAGCTTCTTCTAAACATACACTGTTTGTAAAGTTACATTTGGAAAGAACAATAATTACTTCAAAGGACAGGCTGAGAAAGCTGGCCTGGTTCAGCTGGAGAAGGCTCCTTAAAGGGAGACCTTAGAGCAGCTCCAGTGCCTAAAGGGGCTGCAGGAAACCTGGAGAGGGGCTTGGGACAAGGGCCTGTAGGGACAGGCCAAGGGCAATGGCTTGAACCTGCCCGAGGGGAGACTGAGCTGAGCTCTTAGGCAGAAGCTCTTCCCTGTGAGGGTGCTGAGGCGCTGGCACAGGGTGCCCAGAGAAGCTGTGGCTGCCCCATCCCTGGCAGTGTTCAGTTTTCAGGTTTAAGGTGATCCACAAGTTTAAGTTTTGGAATACCAAAAGCTTATTATATGGTACCTGGTGCAGCTTCTATGGCAGGATTAATGTATCACCACCCCAGCCACCTTAGTCCCTGAGGAACAATTACAGCCAAACCCTTCCTTTTCTCTCTTTCCATCAGAAAAGCAAGAGTCCCACATAAGTGAGGGAATATCACTTTGTTCCATGTGATAAGCAATTCAGCTCCTGTGGGGCCTTAAACAGAGCCACCAGATCCTCAAATGGGTGATGAAAATAAACCAACATGATAAAACCCAACTGATACATCTGATATCCCAACTTATTTAATCAAGAGACTGCCCAAAGAAGCAAGAGAGATTTAATCCAAAGCAGCTGCCCCGACTTGAAGACACGAGTGATCTTAGGAGCTTGCCTACCAGTGAAGCTTAGGAATGGTGCATTCCTATAGCCTAGCCCCAAGACCCTCACTAGAGCTCTATGTCAGCTGCAAGACCACACATCACTCATAAAGGAGCCCACTTTGTTCCAACACAGCTGGAACATCCCAGAACACACAAACATCTATCACGGATCCATAGTGAAGTATCACCCTGAGTACATTTCTCCCCCTTCTCTCCTCAGGGGAGGGCCTGAGGCAGAAAACCACCAGATTTCCTTTTACAGTTACTGTGAAAAATGTTTATTTGTGACACACATCATCGCTGTTTCAAACTATAAAACCCAAATCACTGACACAAGGGAAGGGGCAGGTTTCAGCCCTGCCAGTGACCCCAGCTACACAGAACGCCCTCTCTATGAGCTGGTCCTGCTCCCACCAGCTCTTTATTCCCTCTGAAGCACCAGAACCGTTGTTCTAAGTGAAGAACAACACATCCTAGTTAGAAACGCTTTGCAGCAGGGTGATATTGTCCCCTTTTAACATGATCCGACCTGCAACACAGAGAAAGGAAATGAGACAAACTCTGCCAATAACCTCATACCTTCCAAAAGCCATTTCACACCAGCCAAGGTGACTGCGAGAGGTCCCCTCCACAACAAGAGACCAGGTTCTGATCAGAAAGAGAGCCCCACACAGCTGCACTGCTGGGTGTGAGCACCCCCACAGACCCAATTCACACTGTAGCACATCAGACACAACCTCCCCTCCTGCCCTGGGTGTCTGAGCAGCAGCTTTGTCCCCACCAAGAGCCTGGACTTGCTGCTCATCCCACACTGCTGCTTGTGCTCGTCAGGGAGGATTAAATACTACCACTCCGGTGGTTCCCAGCTTTGATTTGGTGGCACCACAGCAAGCTCCCAAGGTGCGAGAAGCTGCCTATGCAGCCCCAGTGCTGTCACTTTGGAAAGACAAGAGCAGGTCTGGGGCAGAGACAGGTTCTCAACCAAAACCAGCAGCCCAGGAACCAAGCCCTGGCCACTGTCTGCTCCCTGTACCCCAAACTCAACCTCCCAGATGTGTGTTTTGTGCTCTGGAGTGTGGCTGAAGGGAAGCTCAGGCTCCAGGTCACCCCCATGGGCTTACCCAGCTGCTTCCTGGACTTTGTTTTGGAGTGAATCTCCTCTGCATCATCCAGCACCAAGTTCATGTATTCATCAAAGCCCTAAAAATGAGGGATAAAACAGGCAGGGAGCTGAGGCCCCTGGTCTAAATTTCAACAACAAGGATACAAACCATTACCTGTGCTGACCTGACCACTAAGACTATTCACTGGAGAGACATGAAGCGTTTCTATCCCCCCAACACTCCTTTTTCCTGACACTAATAGTTTGATGAACATGAAAAGAAGGATATAACCCCCAGTCTACACAAGCCCAGGAGGACACTACGATACTCACAATGATGCAGCCTTCTATCCGCATGTTCACCTGCTCATAAAGCCACACCTGGATCCTGGACCTCTGCAAAGTGATGGAGGAGGAAGGGAACAAAAGGGACATGAACACACCCAAGTAGTTCTGTTCTATGCATTAAGTGATTCTGGCCCCCAACAGCCACCGCAGCGCTCGGAGCTGTGTCTCTCACACAGTTTTTACGGTGTGCAAGCACTTTTGAAGGCCCAGCACTGGAGAACATCATCAGGATAAAACGCCTTGTTCCGCCTTAGCTTTGTATGAGCCTGAGCCCGGAACGAGCGGCTCTGCTCCCGCACCCCAACGGACCCCGCCTCGGCCCCGCTCCCGACCGTCCCCCCACACGGGCCGCGGTACTCACGTTCTGCAGGTAGCGGAAGATGAGGTTCTGAAGCGAGGGGTTAAGGACTCGGCTCAGCCACAATAACCCGGTCCCCCCCGCCCTCCCGTTCGCCCCCGCGGCCGCAGGAAGGATACGATGGGCTGCACCATCACCTTCTGCACCTTCTGGCCCTGCCCGCGGTACGCCATGGCTGCTCCCCGCGCCGCCACACGCTGCCGCCGCAGGAAGCCGCCGCCGCGCAAGGAACTCTGGGATGCTGGAGGACCCGGCCGCTCTAGGAAGGCGGGAGGACTGCCGTCTCTACTGCTCCGGTTAAAGGGTTGCCTCCCTTTGTCACCCCCATATCCCCCTCTGTAGCTTCCTCACCCCCACCGTAGCCCCTTATCACCCCCCACCGACCCACTGCCACCCCCTCCATAGCCTCTTTGGGCCCCATGAGCACTCAGTGACACAGCTTCTATGGCAGGTTTATTAAAAACACTGTTAACTGCTGTTGGCGTGGAACAGTGCAAGTGGAGTGGAGGCGGCGGGTCATTCACTGCCTTAAATACAATACAAATATAAAATGGGAGAATAAAATATTTACACAGAGCATGGTGTACATCAACCCCCACCTCCGGGGCCAGACCCTTCCTCACCCAGCGCTCGTGCTCCTCCTCGCTGCAGCCCCTCCATCCTTCAGCAGGGGAAGGGATGGGTGAACGCTTGCAGAACCTCAACAGCATCTTCCTGAAGTTTTGGTTTCCAACCTTTTTCCTCTTCTTGGAACGAAGACATCACAGTGGATTATCAAAGCACACAAGTGTTTTCTTCCAAAGAGAAAGTATTTACAACTGGTTGCAGTGAACGCCTGAGGGCCCCAACAGCTTCACATGAGAGCAGGAAGAGAGTGAAGTCCTTCAAAAACTTAAGGAAATAACTGAAAATCTATATCCCAGGGAAAGTGAGCACTGGGGGGCACAGACCCCGGTCTCAGCTATTGTCTTAGGGGTCACAAAGGGAGACTCCAACGCCCTGTCCTGGCTCCTGTTCCTGCATCAACCCGGAGCACAAGCCTTGGTGGTGGGGCAGAGGCTGAGGGAGGATTCCCAGGCAGGAGCAATGTGGTTGGTCCCGCAGCAGTACCAGCTTCCAAGGAAGATGCTCCCCTATGGGTTGGTGCCACGACAGCGCTTGAACATGAGTCCAAGCAGCCGCCACTTCCCAGATGATCCAGCAGTTTGGGGAGTGATTCTTGGAACAGAGAGGCACTTAAACCAATCCTTCCTTCACCAGTTTCCTGCAGAGGAATCCTGATAACCCACCCCAAAATCCTACCAGGATTCACATCAGCAAAATGCACTGTCCCCCCCCCCAGCACTGGTATAGTACAACAAAGCAGGAGGGGGTTGTGGAGCTGCACTGCAGAGCTGCTGCTTTTCACACCGGTGTCGTTATCATCCCTAAGGATGGACTGAGCCCAACCACTGCCCCTGGCAGCCCATTTGGTCCAAACCACTTCATTATCCTGCTCCCTCCCACCTCGATATTTGCATTAGGTTACCCTAACAGATTAAAGTCCAAATGATAACATACATAAATAAAACTCAAGAGTTGACATAGTAACTCCAGGCTTTAGATAGCAATTGTCCAAGAAATGAGACTACCAAGGCTTTGAAAGGTGCTGAACGTTGAGGTTTGTCAAGGAGGAGGGGGGAAAGAAGGAAGGAAGAAGCTTCAGGTTTAAGCCTTCAGAGCATCACTGCACCAGTACATCAGTTCACAACCACCAGAGTCTGCAGCTGGGGAGCTCTCTGTCCCAGAAGAAACAAGTGCTTTGTCCTCCCAATGTCGACAGCAGCCACTGACAGTCACAGAATGGATGCACAGGACCTTGACTCTGACCAGCAGGGAAATGTAGGACAACTGAGTGCAGATACTGCCCATTTCTACCAGTTGAACTGTGCTTTAAGACTCATTGCAAAGCCTCAGCTACAAAAAGGATCATCACCTCTGGGTATCCAGCAGAAAAATAGTTTTAATTTCTTAAGTTTCTTTTTTTTTGTGTGTTTGTTTTAATGTTAAGATCCTGCAGTTCAGCTGTCGATCATCTCTGACAGTTCCAAGAGGAGGTCGTCCTCATCCTTCCCTGGGTCCAGATCAATTTCTGCTTCTAGTTTGCCTCCTGAGATTTCCCAAATCAGCTTCTCAAAGTCATCTTCTACAGACAAAGGTGCTTTCCCAGCCCCAGTGGAGCTCAGCCGGCGCGTCTTCACTGCCACTTGGGACGAAGTTGAAGTTGAGCTTGAGAGCTCTGACTGTGCCCCAGAGCCTGCCTGGCTTCCCATGTGCAGCTCAGGGCTTGAAGAACAAGAGAGAGTGAATCAGTGTATGGCATTACTTAACCAGAGAGGTGGTTTCTGCAAACCAGCTCTTTAAACTTCATTAATCCCTCCTACACCTCAACTTTACACATGGTTACACCATTAATCTAAGGCTACTTTTAGGGCTGACTGTATCAGCAGACACATCTTTCTGTCTGGGGATCTCTCCATGAATACAGAACCTGGCAAAGAAAGTTTCATTTTGTGTCCAGAGACCTTTACTAATTTGATTGTAAAAAGGTTAAGAAGTCGACCTCTGGAGGCACTCAGAAACCCCACAAACTCACTGAAAGGCTGTACCAACCTCCAGCATTGGAAGGAAAGCGTCTAAGTATTCCTGCTGGCTGCTAGACAATTGCTGCAGATTAATTGCTCCTTTGGACTCCTTATCTCAAACCTCCACTTTTTCCACATGTGAAAAAACCCTTATGTTTCATGTGAAAAACAAAAATGATCAAGAAAAAGAACAAGTGGTGGCTGTTACCTGGTTTGGGGTTTTTCTCCCCTCGGTATGGAGCTGAGGCTGTCCTCTGGCAAAGCAGGAACAATGGCCTAGGAAGAAGCAAGACAGTTCTTACGATACACAGGTAAAAGACTTCTTTGTAGATTCCTCTTCTGCTGCTTCTCCCTTGGCATTGCTGAACCAAAAGCACTCCTGAAGTTAGGATTCACTCTCAGTATACATCATGAACACTTGCACGGGGTGCCCAAAGAAGCTGTGGCTGCCCTATCCCTGGCAGTGTTCAAGGTCAGATTGGATGGGGCTTGGAGCAAGCTGCTCTAGTGGAAGGTGTCCCTGCCTGTGTCAGGGGACTGGAACTGGATGAGCTTTAAAGTCCCTTCCAACACAAAGCATTCCACTATTCTATGATAAACTCAAGTTTACTAATGACTGTGTCTTTAAGAACACAGCATTAATGGATAAAATCCTTTGTACCACAGAGAATCCCAGCAGAGTATTAATGGAAGCACTGCTATTCACCTAATAAAAAGCAGGATGGCACTACAACCATTTGACAGACCGCTTTGGGATTTCAGAGGGAACAGAGCTGTGAAACACTCCAATTTTCCATCTATTCTCCAAAAGGAGGGTAAAACTTGGGCATACATTTTACCAGGGACCCACTACTGCTTCAGACACTGTCCTTACCACAGCTGCTTTTCTAGCTGGAGGCTCCTTTGTGTCACCACCAGTGGCACTCAAGGGCTTCACAGCTGCCATGGCAGAGGGATGACTCTCTGCTGCCTTACGCTTCAAGGCATGCTTTGTGGGAGAGGTGGTCTTCCCATCCGGAGCCTTCAGGCATGCCTTGGATTTGGCTAGAGGAAAAAGGAGAACTTTATCAGTCTTGCTCTGCCTCTGGAGAAAAAAAGATAACCAAGAGGTTCTCTCCAATCAGTTCCATCATCCTTCTAGTTAAACAGATTTGGCCACTACATTACACTGTCATTGCCCAGATTTCCAGCAGTACTTTCCACAGAATAAACTGTTATTTACCAGCAAGCCATAAAAAGGAGCAAAGAAGTTGCAAAAAGGAGTCAGTTACAACATGAAAACTGCCATCTTTTTTCAAAACAAGACCTAAAGGAACTCTTTACAGTTTCAACACCTACTCTTAGCTTTCCGTTCCTGGAGTGGAGCTGCCTGTTTCCCTGGTGATACAGCAGCTTCTTTCCCTGGGCTTTCAACCCCATCTTCCAGAGGTTTCACCAATGTCTTCTTCACAAAATGATGCACCGACCCTGAAGCTTCAGGGCTCCCTGATGGTGGAGTTTTGTCCTTGATGGGTTTTTCAACAGAAGGTGGCACAGAAGCTGCTTCCTTCTGAGGCTTCTCTTCTTGGTGGTGTTTCAGTTGCCGCTTCTCCCTCATTATCTCTTCAAGGTTCTTCACTTGAACTTTAGAATTAGCTGTGCTCTGATCAGAGAGCTGGAAAGAAAAAAAAGCAGTGGACTAATAAGACAAAAAGAAAACGTGAGGGCAAGCCCTCTGAAATGGCTCCATGTGGAACAGAGCAGGTTATGACCATTCAGATCTGACCTTTTTTCCATATCATGCGCCTGTAACAAGATCCATGCTGCTTTGCTATGGGAATACAAAAGCCTGCAACTCCCAACACCGCAAGCTGCTTTAACAGAGCAGAAGGCTCTAGCTGTAATTTATTATATTCTTTTTAAGCGAGAGAAACTTGAACAAAACCATTCCCTCCACATTAACATCACAGATTTTATCTGCTCTTAACTGGGTTTCTTATGCACTGTCAGGTGCAAGCAGATTAATTCAAAGCTTGAAGATCTCAGTGTTGTCTGGAAACGCTATGAAAGCAACAGACTGAAAGCAACAGACTGCTTCATTGCAGCACTTACCAAATGTGGGAAGAGCATGCAGTGAGGTGCAAACAAAATATAACAAAACTTACCACAAATGGTATGAATATATATATGTCTTCACAAAGGACTCACCTCTGCAGGTGTAGAGACAGCTTTGGGAGAAGGTCTGCTCAATTCCACCACCTTCTTTTCTTCTCTTCCAGGTGCTTTAAAACAAGAACAAAACAGTAATGATTTTATCAACAGCAGAAGTAAAGCAACCTGGTTCCCTTTGCCTCCCTGGCGTGTTCGTTTCCTCCTGGCTAGTAACGGGACAAAGGGAGAGGCTACAGCAAACAATCCCTGCAGCACTGGACCTCTCTTTATGTGCCTCCATCACATTATCTCTTTACAGGGGTTATATCATCTTAACAATGAGATCTTTAATGCTCTGTCATTTTGGACAAAAAACAGCCCTCACATTATGTTAATGTGTTCACAAACACATATATCGAGAAGTTAACACATACCAAAGAGGAAGGTAAATGTGGATTCAGCACAGGGAAGATCCCATATCACAAACAGCAGAAAAAAAAACCAACCCAGACAAGAGGAATTCAACTACAAAGCTCCCCAATGAACAAAGTTTCCAGTAGGAAATCCAGAAAACGTATGCAATTCATGGGAATATTCCAGTACTTTTTTACCACTGTAGCCTTAACTCTTTTATCCTTTAGTATACACAGAAGGAAAAAGCAACACAAATGCTGAGCCAACTGGATTTGCTTAACAAGGGAAGCAGGTACCAAACCATTACCTATCAGCTTGGTGATCCGTAACAATCTCCTCCCTGTTGGGGCAGGTTCGGGTTGTGCTGGTGGAGCTGGCCCATTTTCTCCACTCTGCTGCAGTCGCAGAGCTTTCTCCTGCTTGATTTCCTCCAAGGTTTTAATACGCACTTCCCCTGGCTTGGCTTTCCCTGCTGGCTCTGCCAGAGGCACTCTGCTGGGCACAGATGGAGCCAGCACACTCTGCTTCCTGGGCTCTCCCTCAGCTTTTGTCTTGGGAGGAAGCTCTTCTGGTTTTTGCTTCTCTTCTTCCAATCGCTTCTGGTTTTTCTCAGCCAGGGCTCCTGAGACAGTTTTGATGCGAACTGCAGGGGAAGGTTTTGCCCCCGAGCTGGGATCTTCTGCTTTACAACGCCCTTCAGCCTGGGCTTTAGCTGGAGGTTCTCCTCGTCGCTGAGAAGCTCTCTCAAGGCGAATTTCTTCCAGTGTTTTCACATGGAACTCTCCTGTCGGCTTAGCAGCCTTCTCTGGCATCACCAAAGAAAAGCATCAAGATTTCAAGAGAGTCCAACAAGACGTAAAGCCCCCCCACATTTGTCACAGTACTAAGGAAAACCAGGTTTGAGTGTTCCCAAGAATGCACCTTTAAGACAGTATAATTCTGCATAACCTTCTCCTCCTTTAAGCCACCTGTATTTCTGCAAACCAGTGCTATCCAGAGAGCTGTGGCACAAAGCCCCATCAGTGTATTTTACTTTGTTACTTTCTCAGGCTTTCTCTGTCAGCATCCCAAACCTCTGCCCCTGGCAGTGGTTCTATTCCACTTGTGCTTAAGCATCCTGCAGCTTCTGATGGCTCGCAGCAGGAACATGAAACCTTGAGGCACAAGTGAAGAGCATACACAGAGCCAGAGCCAGATCTCTGACAGCAGCCAGCAGGGCAGGTTCAGCACTCAAGCAAGAGGAATCAGGCAGATCAGTTAAGTTCCCTTTTAGGGCTGTCTGAAAGTTTATGGAATGAAAAAAGGGGAAGGCCTATTTAATACCCAGTTATTACCTGTCTCTGTGCTGGTCTGTTCAGAGGGCAATCCTAGCCTCTCCTTCAGAGACTTGGGGACTTGAACTACAAGACAGAAGAGAAAGAGTCAGGGAGACTGCATAAACCTCAATTTTGTGTTCACATTTTGAAATGAGACAGGACATCTCTGGGATTCCAGGCTACCTCAAGCCCTCAACCAAGACACACAAAGAACCATTAGAAGAAAGGACAAACAGAAAACCTAACCTAGACAATCTGCGCATCAAATCCAGATGTTAGGTTAGTGGCTGTACCTCTTTTGGGGGCTTTGTCAGCATTCTCCAACATGTCTATCTTCTTCCCCAGCCTTTCAGCAAGGTTGCGCTTCAGTGGAATGACACTTTTAGCAGCTTCAAAGAGATAAGAAACAAGACTTACTTCAGGAACATTTATCTGGAGGAGGATTTGAGAACACCCAGCCACAAATTTCAGTTCTTCCAGGTATATTTTCTTGTACTTGCCTCTCAGTTGCTAAAACAATTTGCCGTTTCTGCAGTCAGTACAGATCTCTTCCAAAACGTATTTTCCTCCTTCACGCAGCAAATAAAACCCCTCAAACCCACTCACATTTAGATAAGGGCAACAAAACCACAGCTCACAAAAAGCTCTTACCTGTGGAGGCTTTCCGTTTGCTCAGTCTCTCAGCAATGTTCAGCTGAATCACAGGCTCCTCCCCTAAAACAAAGGGTAATGTCTAGCACACAGAAACCAGGAGCCAGTAAAAGCATTGTCTTTCTAGCCTACGTCCCCAAAAGACACTCTTGTAGCCAAGACAACACAAGTGAATGGCTACCAGTTGTAGTTTTACACCTTTTTGCCTTTAAAAGGTATTTGTGTGGATTTAAACACTACCATTTATATCACTCATATCACTGCTGTATGCAACTGTCACTGTCAGCCTCTTCAATGCTTCAGAAACTGGTTACCTGTATAACACCATCCTCTAGAGGTCTTCCCTTCAATTTTAACCCCAGTTATCCCTTCATTTGCACACTGACACTTGTTTTGACATCAACTTCTCTCTCTGCACTTAACCCCAGCACCAATCCTGTCACACTCTGTCAACACATGCACTCATTCACAAATCTCACTCAACTTCTCGACTGAAGTCAAATTAAGCACGTTTGAGAGCCTGTAGGATGGTGCTAATGTATGATTAGCTATGGCTTGAAGTCAGGCTGTTAAAAACACTTCTTGATCTTTTACTGCAGCACAACTGAGCACCTACAAATGCTAAATCTTTTCCTTTAAGGACAAAGGCATGGTTTTAATGAGAAAAATTCAGCCAGCAGGCTAATGTGTCTGAATTATCTTCATTATTAGTTAAGCTTTTGGTTTAGAAGCCATGAAATGGCAATGAGTCTTCACTGTTACCTTGCTTTGCAGACAGCGTTACAGTTCTCACTACTGTCCGCACATTCTCCTTTTCCGGCACAGGAACAGTCCGAGATTGGAGGGGATGAACAGAAATTCCTGAAGGACCTTCTGGATCAGAGCAAGCAAAACAGAAGGATGCTTAGGAAAAGAATCCAACCAAACAGAACTATCACAAAGAGCAAAGCCATCAGTTATTCATTCCTGTCAAACATACAATGACCAGTGCATTTTGCCTCCGATTTGCCCTCAGACTTACAACCTAGAATACCAGCTCTCTGAGCTTAAGAAAACAGGCTGCGTGCCTAAGTAGCACAGGACCTCCAGCTAAACATGGAATTCTGGCCCTCAAGCAGCTCTCAGCTGCAATCATCTCCCATCCTGATCCCAACACTGCAAAGGGTTGTATTCCCTACTGCACAGCCAACTATCCATGGAATATCAGAAGGATAAGAAAAGGCAGAAGTGAAGGAAATAGGGGCTATTAACTCACCACCTTGTTTTTTTGTTTTCTCCTTTAGTTTCTTCAATTTGATTTCTTCAAGCGTTTTTATTCCAAAATTCAAATTATCATCTGAAAAAACAAACGAGGCTCTGAGAAACTGAGGCTGAAAGGCACACACAGAGCCTCCAGCTCAGAACCTGCCCAAAGTGTTTTGAATAAACCCTGCCAACACTCCCCTCAAGTAAAAAAAAAAAGCCATACAACAGATGGCACTTTGGTAAGGAACTGGCACCTTTCTCCTCCCACCTTACAGGGTAAAACCTACAGTTTGCAGTATTTTAATCCATCTACATATTAGATTCCTCTGTCATTAGATACAGCTTTCTACTGCTTGGAAAGACATCTTTGCAGGCTTTCCAACTCCACTCTGTGGCTCTATTTTGTTCTATACAAGTAAACAAGGAGGAGTTTACCTGTCTGAGCAAGGTACATGTGACATCATTAGACAGGAATGAGCTCATGGGAATACCTGACTGCTGACCCTGTGTTCTAATGCAGTTTTAGAACATACTTTTAAGTTTACTGCACAATTCTCCTTCCAATCCCCCCTATTAGAGCTGTTGGGATACCTTGCTTGGAATTAGCACTGGATTTCCTAGTGGAAATTATCCGCAATCCATTATGGGTTTCTGTTGTTGGTTGCTGGATGGCCATTTTAATGTCATCCCCTTCTTCAGAAAGCTGGTCTGAAAAGCAAAAATAAACCTATTCAGTTGCAGAATAGGGATTAGATGGGATTTCTCATGCTTATGCAGCTCACCCAATGACATTTCAGTCCATGATCCACTACACAATTCAGGTATTCTGTGATTTACACATTCACTTAAGAGGAAAAATGCTCACCATCATCATCTTCATCATCATCTGCAGCATTGATTACAACTGGGGGATGTGTAGGACTTGGGACATTTTCAGAGTTTTCCACTTTCATCACCCCCCTCAGCTGGGGAGAGGGATTTGACTGAACAGAAAGTTTGTTTTGCTGCAGTGACATCTGAGGCATTTTAGCATCATCTTCCACAGACTCAGGTGGACTTGGAAGTGTAGCTAGAGGAAGAGGAAGAGCAGCTCTTATGCAGCCATTTAGAACTTTGACCCCAATGTTGCATTCACTGTGTAGATATGGCAGATAATCCACCTCACTACTGGATTCAGAGTTTCCTATTCCCCAACCCAGGTTACACTATGAGCAATGTTTCTCGTCATGCACAGATCTCAAGCCCCACCACCCAGAAAGGATTAAATGAGGGGAAAGCAACCTGAAAGGCAAAGATCCCACAAAGCACAGAGAAGCTGAACATGAAAGATAAGACTAAATACCAGAATGACATGCTGTTTAGCTGAGCACCTGACTGCAGCCTCCTCCTTGCACTCATAAACTAGCAGTTCCTTTATGTGTTCAATAGGCATTGTACCCACTTGTAAGCAATACTCAAGATTAACTACTCAATCCTTCAAGAAGGACCCAAGAAACTCACTTTTGCTCGGAGGTAAGAAGAGTCCATCAACGTAACGTCCTTTGGTGTGATGAAAAGCGCAGTTGGATTTTTGGCAGCCCACTGGCTGGTTCTCCCAGTAGCAAGGAATCTCACTGCGTTTCTTCTGAGGACAAAAAGAAAGCAAAGCTCGTGGTGACACTCACCCTGATTTGCAAAGACACATTTCCCACCACAAGTGGATCACAGGCAGGCTGTGCAGTGCTGAAACATCACTCCAAAGGTCAATTTATCACTAGAAGTACTTTCACTATAACAATTTAGCCTTAGCTAAGCTTAGCTGTATCAACAGCATATTACCTACCTTTCCTACCCAGTTTGAGCAGATAGGCACTCTCACACATCAATTCACATGGGATAAAATAACACAACGTGCGAAATACTGGGATTATTCAGAGGGGAAAATGTCTTCAATTGCTCAATTAAATCTACCAAAGTTTATCTTCAGAGCCTTGGTTCCTTCCCATGTTTTCTCTACATACCCTGTACACCCCAAGAGGTTAGAATGGCATCAGATCAAATCCAGGGGCCACTATGAAGCCCAGCCCTCAGGAGGTGAGTGCAGGCTGATTGCTGCCACCCTGCTCTACCACATTCAGGCAGTCATATCAATGTGGTTGCTGTTTCCTCTTAAGAGCATAATGTCAGCAGCTAATACAACAATTTCATGCTGAGATACGCGTAAGAAATTGATCTTTTCCTTTCCCAACTTTCTCCTGCCCCCCAGCATCATTTTAAAGCAATGTAAAAGCACATTCAGTCCACCTACATCAATGGAAAACTGCTTTCAGCCATTTATTTTGAGAACATATCTTTAGGCAAACACTCACATCGATTTCCATGTGTCTGAACCTGCAGATATTCCTGAAACAGCGACCCTCTTGCCAGAGTGTGCAGACTGTTTCATTTCCCAGAGCAGCTTCGCAGTGGCGGAAGGAGCAGCTGTCTCCCTGGAGCCAAAAGGGAATCAAAAAGATAAATGAAACAGTACAGCCTAAAAAAGACACCCATGATCTCAGAACTGGCAGCCAAGACTAACTGCTTATTAAGTTAACAGGAGTCTGTGGGTTTCTTCCCACTCTTTCCCCTCCTCTCTTAAAACTACAAAGAAAAAAGAAACCGAGCCCAAAGCAAAAGAATCCCAAACACACCTTGTTACACGTGGAATAGAAATAGAAGTAGCAGTCATCTCCTTGGTTAGACATAATGGACAAAGCCTTAGTATGGTTCTACAGATTCACTCAATAGGGACTTCCTCCAGTCTTCCAGTCTGAAGCTGGCTTCACTTTCTTGGACTGAAATCTTCTACTGGCTTGATCAGTGAAATCTTCTTTTTAAAAGTAACCCTAAAGGAAGGCATCAAGTGAAAATTAATGGAGGAATGTGCATTTTTCCAGCTGCTTCCTGCTGATAAAATTAGTCTCTTAGGAGGGGGCAACATCTTGAAATCAGCTGATTACAAAACTATCCCAATACTAAGTGAAGCTTCATGGGTTTTGTCAGCAAGCATTTCTGTGTCCTTAGCAATAGCTACATGCCTTAGAGCACAAGACACTACTGCTGGAAGCCCAAGTCTTAAAAATGTGGTCATACATTTGAGTTATCAGTCAATGGTTAACTAGTAATTCTTATATAACTGACACAGTAAGCTTTCTATTCCCATCCCCACAGATCTCCCTGTTCACATACCTGGCCAACTTCAGCAAAGATACGGATCTTCAAAGACTTCCAGTTAACTTCTCCTGTAGGCCGAACCAACACTGAATCCGTGAATTAATAATAAAGGGGTTGAAAGACTTTTCCTCCTCACATTGCCAAGGGAACCTCTCATCCACAATTCAAACATAGGATGTGCTTTTAAACATCTTACAACTAATGGAGGAAGCAAGTCCATTGGAATACTGTCAGACTGGAGACAGCCAGGGTTAGTTAGCTCTTCAAAACAGGAAAAAACAAAAAAAAAGAGGAAAAAAAAACCAAAAACCAAAAACAAAAAACAACCCAGGGCATTTAAAGATGAACTCGTGATTCAAAGTGGCTGCAAAAATGAGGCTCCATCTTCCACAGCCGGGCAATTGCCATTTTAATTTGGTTTGGTTTTTAATTTAAAATGCAGTAAAGTTGCAATTTCGGGTCTTCAAGATTTCTTCACCTATTAAGAAAACACAAAAATCTTCCCCCATCTTTATGACCTGTACAGCAAAAAACAGACTTTGTGTGTATAAATCCACAGATATGTATATCCATACACATCCGGGTTTATACACACAGCAAGAGTGAGGGGTAACAAAGTCAGGAAAGGTGAGAGGAAAAATGTGAATTTGGGGCTATCTGCCACAGAGGAATGCAAACAAAGTCTCTCCTTTGGAAGGAACTGGCAAAAATCAAAGATCTACAGAACATTTTGATGACTATGCCTTTGAGGCTGATGCTTTTTATAGAAAGAAATATGGAACAGGAGTGATCTGAGGCCAGCACACAAAGATGCATAGGTCTGTACATGCATACAGTGGAAACACACACACACGTGCACAGTACGTTGTATGATATCCGAGTGGAGAACAGCTCTGAGCCCCCATCAGCCACGTCGAGTTGCAATCAATCACCAGCAGGAAGGCAGCAGGTCAGGGTATGACAAGCTTTGGGAAGCAGGGAAATGTTCACTTGGCCAGTGGCATGGCTGCATGATGCTAACAATTTGGAATTCCTTTGGTTTTAGGAAAGAATTTGCTTTCTTTTCACAGCAGAGCAAACAATATGAATTTGCCATCATATGTCGTTCCCTAATCCATATATCCATCATTAGCCACTGGTGTAAGGTCATGGGAAGCTTGGAAAGATGGCTTAGGTCCAATTCAACAGGGATGATTTTTTTTTTGTGCCACCAGAGCTGAACTGATTTTATTTAGCTACAAGCAATTTGTTGTTTTTTCTTTTTTAATGTGAAGTCAGATGCTGTGATTCTTATTTAAGATACTAAATGCCATAAAACCTGCAACCAGACCAGATAAAGTTCAATTTTAAGTGATTCTGACCCCTTTCATTAAAATGCTGCACATTTCTGTGCAAAGTGCTTCTGAGCCTTTTGGACAAAACTGAATGAAATAGTTCTTACAAATTAAGAATAAAAGGTTGGAACCTTTTTTCTCACACAAACACTACTGAATTTCCCAGGATATGTTTTTTTTTTTTTTGGCAGGGAATTTTCCCAAATCTAAAACAAAGAGAGCAAAAGTTGGGTTCTCATATTAGTTACTGGGTTTTGACCGCTTGACAGAGGGAGTAAGAGCAGTGGTTAAGTGCAAGGGCTTCTTCCCTTCCTCAGTATCGATGGGACTATTTGCTTTTGACCTTTAGCACCTTCCAAAACAGACTTGGTGTCATACAGATCCCTGTGCATCTACTGCTAAAAATTACTGGTGCTCCTTCATGGAGAGCTTTGCCAAGAAGCCTTTCTCCAAACGTGTTCCAAATACCATTGATAGTTCAATGAGATTTCAAGCACGACTCTAGAGTCTGCACAAGCCAACAAGGAAATAGATGGCAATTGAGGACCACTGCTTTGCTGAGCAGAGCCATTCAAACACAAATGGGAAGGAATTCACAGTCTAGAAGCATTTCTTTTCCCTAGGAAGTGAGAGACACCTGTACAATGCAACATTACTTTATCCACCACCATGGGGGAGAAAAGACATCCCCTTGGAGCAGCTCAGCACTTTGCTTGCTGCCTTCTATATTCCTGAGCAGACTTCAAGAGCTGTTCAGAATGTGAATGGATCTTGGTTAAGGAATGGGAAAAAAAGCAAAACTTTAAAAGAAACACAAGAGAAAACCACCAAATTTCCCACCCACACACACAAAAACAACAAAAAAAAAAAACCCTTTCATTTTAAAAAAGGTTAACTTCAAACCTCTTTTGGTTTCTTTTTTTTAACCTTGGAGCAGTTAACACACAACCTGAGCACTAAGCAGAGATCAACTGAACTAACCCCTGAAACTCTGAGTAAAAATGAGTAACTCTGGAGCACTCAGCAGGTCTCTCATGGAAGCTGATGAGAATTTTAAAACCCTTCCCATCCCTGTCCCCCCGAAATCTATCCAAGATTTTGTTTGAAAAGATTTTGAACTCCTTTAGGAAAAATAAAAGAACTACAGATGCAGTAGGGGTGGGGGTCAGCATTTTTTGTGTCAACAAGTACTATGAAGTCTACCTTTGACCAAGGGAAGATAAATGTACAAGGAGAGTCTGTAGCTTGTTTTACAAGCTTGTCATTCTTGGAACTGAAGAAACAGCCCTACTCCCTGGTCTGACCCTCCAGCTTGCTGCCCTGCCTTTGTCCTGGATCAAGGAGAAAGTAGGGAACAGGATGGTTTTGCACTCCAACAAATGCATGAGGAAGTATTACTGCATCTACCTAGGGGCACTTTCTGGTTATAAGGTATGAAGTATTTCACTTGGACAGTCTCTCTTGCTGCTCTACCTTGTGCCTTTAACCTCTTAAAAGATAATAAAGATGCTTAACACCCATGTTTGCTGGAAAAGTTGGATGACAAGGAAGGAGGAGCACCAGGAACTAAAGTGCAGAACAACCTCTTGCTAAAACATCTCACTCTCTGTAAATCTAAAGCTTATTTGTCCAAAGCAGAAGCAGAATACTCAACAATCCTACTCTTTACATTTCTTTTAGTAAACTCTAGCTGTTAAATACTGCCTAAACATGGATTGCAGGCATGTGCTGAGTGAGGGTGACAGCACTCAAGAGCCTTGCAGAGCAAAGACCACAAGGCTGCCAGCCAAGAAAGCAAAGGTGAAAGCAGATGGATTGGCCCAGCTTCCTCTGCCAGAGTCGGGATCATCTTTCATTGTGATCTCTGAAAGTCAGAGCCATGAGTTGTAGTGTGAGTTACTACTACCAGGAAGGCACAACTGCCCCTCACTAGAGCAATTCTGTTTGAAGATGTGCCACTTCAGGGATCTGATTGAGGACATTCTTCCTTAAAAGAGGCAAATCAGTCTGCTCCTGAAAGAGCTGACTGGCTGTCAAAGAATAACCCTGAACTGAATACAGATGCAGAAGGGATTATTCAAAGCAAGGATCTAGTGAGTGGCCAAGACAAAGCAATCAGATCTGAGCTCTAAAAAAAAACCAGTTTCACCCATTTCCCAGTCCAAGGGTGACAATAATACCTTCGAGCTGAAAGTTTCTACATGCTCTGCAAAGCCAGAAGGCCTGATGGCAGCAGTTGATTAAGAACTACAGTTCTCCACTGGCCTCCACCTGCAGGGCAAGAATCCTGCTCCCAGACACTTGTGACTACTGGAATGAACTGAGAATAGCCCCATTCTGCCTCAGGGAAGGATGCCGCTCCACCTTCTGCTGGTTTAAAGTCACTTTAACACATAAAAGGTAATGAAAGGTTCACTGAACAGCAATTTCCTGCTTCAAGTGATCCTGTGGAAGATGGTTTGAATGCTGGAGTTCCTGAAGAATTTGATGGGCCTTAGCAGTATGATGGAGGAAATCTCTTAAGTGCCCGATAACCTGTTCTCAGTGCTCCTGTGCTCAAAGTCCTAAATCCTTAGTTTTAACCTAGCACTGTGTGTACAAGCTCAGTGGTGTTGTCAGGAGCTGGAAAGCCAGTGAGGGATTAAGGGAAAGCCACACATTAATTTGGTCACTTGGTTCTTGTAGGACACTTCCTACTGCACAAGTTTTAGTAAAGCCAGGGGGAATGAGCTGCTTTCTAAAAAGGGACTTCTGGTGGTGCAGTGTATCCAAAGATCTCCAGTGGGCCATCACTGTCAGGTTGTCTGCAGCTGGTTCAGGGTCTACGTTATCAACAGTTAAATGTGTATTTTTGTGTTATGCTTTCTCCAAAGCCATGGAAAATGTTTCTTCTACAATGCCATACAGTCACATTAGAGATGAGAACCGACAGTCTAGTGCTACAATCTGTATGAACTTCTAGTAAGTTGGCCTTCAAAAAGAGTATCTTCAGTAATTAATTTTATAATAGTTCTTTTTATCTGTTAAAGTGTATTTTCATATCTGAGCTCCTTCAGAGCAGCATGAGGTTGAGTCTTGAATCCCATGGGAAAAATTCATGTCGTTTCTCCTACCAAGCACACACTCAGTAGGCAAAGCTGGAACAGGAACAACCAAGCCTAAAGTTGTTAAAGCACAACTAAGCCTATCTGAGCTCAATGCATCACCTTCACAGAGCAAAAATTCACGAGAAACAGTAGAAAAACCCAGAAGTACTTCCCAAGCTTCAGGTTACCAGCAGCACCATCACACAGGTCCAGGACATATGGTCTGCAAGCATTGCTGAAGTGCTGAGGCAAGTCCCTGCCCAACACTGCAAGGGAGTGTGCCAGGTATGCTGGGGGTCAACTGAGAAGTTCCACACAACAGATGCATTTGTTCTAATTTCTGGCATCAAAAGGCTTTTGGCAGTATTGCTTTCATGAAGTAAACTTCCTCTGTCTTCTCCAGATGCTCCAGAATCCACCACTGCTGCAACTGCAACGGCTATGCCAGTATGAGCCATATCCATGGCCAATCTCTTTGATAGCTCCCATTTCCCCAGGCACATTTGCAGTCCACTCACCTCCTCTTCCAGCTGAAACACCAGCCCGCTGGCTCTGTCACAGCATCACTGCCAACATGAGAGCTTCGAACACACATCAACCTCCTGCTGCTAACATCACTGTTAACACATCACCAGGGAGATGGCTACACACTCTGCACGGAGATGTCAGCAAGGAGTCAGTGTCCCCAGACAAGTACCCGGCTTGCCATGGATGGTGTGGGGTCTTTTCATGTCCCACAGCTGAAGTTTTTGCTCTTCCTCCAGGCAACCGTGGGTGCTTTAACAGATTGTGGTCCATAAGGAAGCTCCTTCCATCCTGCTCAGACACCAGGCATGACAGCAGCACACGCAGGTGTAACAGTACCTGCAGGTCCCAAATCCCTAACTCATTTTTACATAGCACCAATTTTTAATGTGGTGGCTTTCCCTTAATGCATAACCCCTTCGTTCCTGTATTTTTAGTGGGTAGCTCTCTATTATTCTCTCTGTCCATCAGCTTTTCCTCCTAGTTGGCCCAATGGCCATCAGGAATCAATTCCAAACTAAGGAGACTGCTAAAGCTGCTGCAGCTGCTCCTGGGTGAGACTTGGGATACTTAGAAATAGAGAAAGAACAAGGGTATTTTAGCTGAAACCAATACTAGGCCCTGGCAGCAATTTACTGTGATGATTCACCTCCCTCCCCAAGTGTTGCATTAAAGCTCAAAAAGAACCAACTTCCCCTGGAAGCAGCCATTTGAGCTGAGAAGCGACAGCAAGAGGAAGTTTTCTCCAGACTGGCTTTCCTCCTGGAACAGCTCACTATCCAGCAAGAAATCCAGCCTATCTGTTCAGCTCGAGCACTCTCAGGTGTGCCCAAATTCACCCGGGTGCCACAGTGGTGCTTCTGATACCCTTTCAAAACCCCCTGTCCTCAGGAGATCTTCTTTTAGCAACCAAATAACACAGTGGTTTATATTAGAAGCACGGATGGCCCAGAGCTCCATCTCAGCGTCCACCCCAGAACACCAGCTCTGGGAACACTCCATGAGCTCCCAACACTGATCCCTGCAACAGCAAAAATCACTTTTCACTTGCATTATGAACATGAACGTAAGAAAACAGAAACCTCTCGGATCCACTTCTTAACAAACAACAACAAATGTCACCCAACTGGGCTCTTTTAAGCAACCTAAAGGAGAAATTAAGATGACAACCGGGTGCATCCAGAGTTAGTCAGATCCTGAAGGCAATTAGTTCCTTTAGGAAACGGTGGAGCAATTTGTCGGATGACTACATTACAGCACGCCCCTTATACGCATTGCTACAGAAGGCAGGCACAAGGGTTTAACTGAAAAAAGCATACATATATAAAGCACCTGCACTGGGATCTTCAACTCTGAACAGCCGAACCCTCCCGGGGCTGCCCAAGCATTCGGTTTCCCGGGAGACCACCGGAACGGGGCGGAAGGGGCACAGCCAGGCCCTACAGAAGGGCTAACGGCGGAGGGGAGGGCCAGGGTCGGGAACAGGAGAGCTGCGGCCCTGTAATGGGGGAGCGGGGCCTGGGGCCTACCTCGAGCACAGGGGAAGCACTCCCCGTCCCCAAAGTCCCGCGGCGCCGAGGCCGGGGAGAACGCCTCCTCCCCCTCCCGCTGTCTACGGAGAACCCGAACTGCCCCAGCACCCCCCTTCCATTGCCTACAGACACCCCGTTGTGGAGGGCTCAGGGCCGCGGCCTGGGCCGCCGACCCCGCCGGGCCCGGGGGCCGCGGCCTGCTTCCTCCGAGGGGAGCGCAGAGGACCCGGTGCTGGTGAGAGGCCATTCCCCAGCCCCTGCGGTCTATGAACGGCTCTAGTTACCGGCGAGCGGGGACTTTACCGAACCCCAGGGGACAGCCTCTGCCGCCGCCGCGTCGCCTCGATCCGCCGGGGCCGCCGCTCGGGCTCCTGCCGTCCCCGCTGCCAGCCCCAAAGATGGCGCCGGGGACACGGACAACGTCAGGCACCCACTGCCAAGATGGCGGACGGAGCGGCTTCACAACCGCCACTTCCGGCCGTTGGAGTCGATCGGGGCGGAGCTCCGCCCACTGAGGCGGCAAAGAGAGGTGGGCGGTGCCGATAAACAAGGCGGGCGGGCAGGAAGCGTAAAATGACAAGCAAGCGGGCGGGCGGGTTTTTTTTCCCTTTTCTCCTCCGACGAATCCCAGCGTTTCCTTTAAGCTCCAGACAAATCCCTTCGCCATGGTGGGAATGGGATAATTTCCCCCCTTCCCTCCATCTTTAGCCTGGCTGCGGTGCCTTGCACCCAGCTTCCAGTTCAAGGTGTGCTCCTTGCCCATCATGGCACCAAGCCGTGGTGTCTGAGGGAGCCATCTCCTTCCTTGTGGCAATGCCTCACCTCAGAGTTGCTCTTTCCAAGCTGGACCCTCTATTATGTTTTAAGTCTGTTTTCCCACTGCTCGCCCTGGGCCCTTGGGACATGTCTGAGGTCCTGGCAAAGGAGGGAGGTGCATGGGAGGATCCATGGTAGACCATAGACCTCAACCTGCCTCCATCCTGGTGTCCTGGGTGGTACAAGATGGCATGGATGCTGCACAGTGAAGCTTTTCCCCCATGTTCGTGTCACCCAGCTCCATAGATCAGTGTTGGCAAGGTTTGGACTGAACCATCCCTTCAGCCTTCCCCCAGTTCCATCTTCTCATGGCTTGGCCTTGGTGTTACTAAAGGCCCAGAGGAGCAACCAGCCCTCCATTGAAGGCAGGGAGTCAAACAGCCCCCCTGCAATAAATACGCTTGGGAACTGAGTATTTCAGGGGGGTTATTTCCCATTGTCCTTCTTATCTGGGCCTCTATGGAGGCACAACAGTCACAGTAGGGAGGGAGGACACGGCTTGAAGCCAGTCCCTAAGAGCTGGGGATCACAATTTCCACCATGCAGCACCTCAAGAGGTGACAGCAGGGAAGGGGACAAGGGAGGATCTTTGCTCTAAGGCAGCTCAATGCTGGTTTGGATGTCACTTGACAGCCAAGTGCTGGTCTTTGCTCAGGGATGGGATGCTTTTGATCCCCATCCCTCTTCCCACCCCACAGGCCCCAATTCCACGCTCCAGCTTGCTCCGACGGGAAGCCTGAGCATCCTAGGAGAGGATGCGGGATGGATTTCACAAGCTGGTGGACACGCATCAGGTACATGTGGGCACATTTTATTCTCTGGATGCACTTGCGCAGTGTTTCTGCTCAACAGCCAAAGCTTTATTGATTCCAAACCAGGACCCTTCTCCCCCTTCAGATTTCTATGTACCCCCTTTTCCCACCCCTCAACCCCTCTTTTGCTTCCACTTGGATTATTATCCCTGCTTGGAGTCTGTTGTCTCAGAAGCCACCAACTGACAATTCATTCAAGTTTGGTTTTTCTCCCCGAGAACCATATAAATTACATGCAAAACATTGTACATAGAGATTAATATCAAAATGCATTACAGATCAGGTGCACTTGAAGCTGGACTCTAAGATATGGCAAACACACCAGGGTACATATTGCTTTGAAACCACCATTGTTTTTTTGTTTTAATGTCATGCATACCACATAATAGTCTTTTGTTTTGTATTTTTGGGTTTTTTTGTACAAAAATACCAGTGCTTATTATACTTAGTTACTGGAAAAGAAGAAAAGAAACTCAGGTCTGCGTGCCCTCTTCAAAAGAAAGGTTTGTTGTGAGAGCATTGGATAAATATATATACACACACATAAATGTTGATTTAATACTGTATATATATATATATTTATTTAAGGGGAGGAAATAAACTAAAGGCAGTTTTAGCCATGGGCTTTGCTGAAGGAAAACTCCATTCTGTTGTTGAGGAGGAGGATAACAGAGGCAGAGCCAGAGATCAGCCAGGCTCGGTGGCAGGGTAGCAGAGAGATGCTGGAGAGGAAGAGCCAGGCATTGCCCTGCAGGTAGGAGAGTGGTCCCCCCCATCACCGAGCCCCACTGGGGAGAGCTGGGATGCAGGAGGATGGTTTATGGGTTTTGTGCTCCATGACTTGAAGGAGCTGGAAAAGGAGTGAGAAGTGATGGCAAACAGGTACATCGGTCCTGCACCAAGAGGTACAAAGCTTGCAGGGACTGTTCTTTGAGGTGCTTGGTCCCCGCAGGAGGGCAATGGCATCCCTGGAGCTGGGATGGGGCTTTTCCATTCACCCCTATGGCGTGTCACCCCCGAGAAGCATTTCTGAAGGGGCTGAACACTACAGGATGGCTACTCCTCGACTGGGGAAAGCCAGAGGCTGCCCATGCTAAAAGTTGGTTTAGTTTTTTTCCTTCTTGAGATTGTTTCAAAACTTTCCTCCAAGCTTATTGCACAAAAACCTTTGAAAATGAAGTAAAACCCCTGTGCAAATCAAAGGAAACCTCACCACAGAATGCAAATGCCTAAAACTGCCGGTTCAGCAACGCACACAGGACGTGGTGTAATGTCTTTGGTACCAATCTGCCAATTTATTTCACATTAAAACCACCACCATCACCACCACCAGCGACCCTACTGTTATTAAGAACTGGATGCAAACGTATGTTCAGAGTGTTTTAATAACAAAGCATTCCAAGGCAAGTTAACACGGAGCACAGGGTATGACTTCGGTTCCTGTCGGGCATGGCACTCTCCCCCCGTGCACACTCGTGGCAGTTCAAACAAAGCAGAAAATAATAATATATATATATATTTCCCCCTTTTCAAGGCATGGTGCAGAGAGTCCCCACAAGTTCATGCTGCTTGACCATGCCTTTCAACGTAGAGCACCAATCTCCCCCCACTCTTTTGTAACATCCTCAATAACTTAACCCAATCTGCTGCCAGTATATCACAGAAACTAAATAGGAAACATAGTTTACAGGGAAAAAACAAAAGGATGTATGCACAATAAACGTTTGATACTTTAAGCAACCAGCCATACCAACATAATTTATATATATATATATAAAAACCCCATTTCTGTCATCCAACTAACATCTAGTATAAAGATGGCTGCTTGGAGAAAAGGAAGCTGACTGGCATCCGCCTGTGAACTGCTGTCACACAGCCACACGACTCAAGGCTTAGTTAGTTTTTTTGTATTTTAAACAAAATACATATGGCTGACGTAAAAATATCCGTTTCTGAGCTAAAGAAAACTATATTTTTTTATATCTTTTTTTTTTTTGCATAATATTTCTATAGAATTCTTCTTTCTCCCCCACTCCCCCCCAACATGGAAACTAGAACAACAAAAATAGATCAACTCAAGAACAACCAGACCCTTGTGGCAACCTTCTGGGAGTGACTTTGAGAGCCTCCAAAGTTGGCTTTTTGCTGTTGGTTTAAGTCTTTGCAACAGGTCTGAGGTATTAAAAAAATATCAAAAGAAAGAAAATCGGTGCAATTCCCCCCCCAAAGTATTTAATAAATATTTCTGTGTAAGAACACCGTTTTTTTACCTTTTTTTTTTTCTTTTTTCTCAAATATTTAACATAGAAAAAAAAAGTGATCTTTGAAGCAATGTCACCTTTAATACAGCCCCAAACCCCACAACCACCCCTTTTGGCTCTCCTGTCACCACTTGTGGGTAATGCCCCCCCTGCCCTGCCCAGGGTAGGTCTCAGCTCATGTATGAAAGGAATGGGGAGGGCAGGGGCCTTGACACTGAATTTTCAATTGAGATGGGCAGTGGTGGCAATTTCTTCTTGCTGTTGGCAGTGTAGAGCCCAGCCTTCACCCCCTTTGCCAGCACCGAGGCAGGACACCTGGGAGAAGGCCCTTTCCTCTGGGCAGGAATGGGGTGAGCTCGTCCTTCCCTCCTCCCACCCCAAGGAAGGGACGAGGCGGTGCTGGGCTGGCAACAAAACAAAGACACTTGGTTTGTGTTGGTGGTTAAGGAACACTTATTTCTTGGCAAAGTACTGGGCCCTCGCGTGGCAGGTGGTGCTGCAGGCAGTGCTTGGAGAAGGCACGGGAGATTCTGCTGTGCGTTCAGAAAGGAAAGGAAAGAAGAAACCAGCCAGCCCCACCTCTCGCTCAAAGCTCTCTGCTTCCAGGGATGGAGGCTAGGCAAACACAATGATGTACAGCCAGTTACAACCACATTCTCTCTGCTTCCAACCAAGCCAAGCAGGATGAAGGAGAGAAAGCAGCGGAGCTTCCTCCAGCCCTGCCTGCCTGGGGCCAGTAACCAGGGGTGCACCAGCAAGGGGAAGAAACTAAGCCTAAGCAAAGCAAACTGCTGCCTCCTGCTCAGTCCCATGGCTTCACGAGAGGGTCAAGTTCAGAGGATACTGAGGGCCTCTGGTCCATTAAAACAGGACTGCTGCCAAAGAGTTACAAGAGACCAAGGTGAGGCAGGATGCAAGGTGAAGAGATGACCTTCAAGAAAGTAGGAAGTGAGGCAAAGCCTCCCATGCAGCACCTTCACTGGAAGACCTGCAGCCAACCACCCAACCTGCACCTCGGGCAAATCAAGGGTCCTGCCATGGGTGCTAGAGCTTCCTCCCCTTCCACTGGCTAAAGCCTGAACCTGACTTACCCCTTCCACAATCAAGAGGCTGACCCACTGGAGTGTCAATAAGCTGATGCTTGCTCTCCACTCAGCCTGCTAACGCTTGGGCAGCGATGCGCATTGCTGGTGGACATGGCTGGAGCATCATCTGGTGTTCCTCAGCAGTTAACTAGAGCTTGTACTCCAAGGCAAAAGGATTATTTAACCCAACAGCACAGACATGCCAGAATGGGTAGAAGTCCCTTTGCTCTTGCTGGCAGGAGCTGTTCAGCCTTTGCAAGGCTCTCCCCTTCACAGCTCTTCAAAAGCAGAAGAGATGAATCTCTAAGACTCCCCAGGAAGGAGCCCTTCTCACAACCATGGGCTTTTTCTTCACCATCCTTCCCCTGCCAGTTCACCTCCACCATGCTTTGTAGAGAAACCAGAAGCTTTTACATCCAGCAAGGTTACAGCCAAGTCACCTTCATTCCTTATCTACCAATGACACTTTGGAAACAGAGAGAGGAGTGTGTGTGCACACACATGGAGGAGGAACTGCAAAAGCTAGGTACCATTTTCAAGGTGGAAGACTGGTGTATACATCCCTGTATCTGTCAAACCTGTGAGTAAACACCTTCCCCTGGCTGGGTTGGTTTTTCATTTATTTGTCATTTCTCCCCCACTTCCCACTGTGGAGTTCTTGGGGGCAAATCCCACAAGCAAAGAACAAACCCCAACATTAGAAGAAAACCCTAAAAACCACAAGTGGTTGAAAAAAAACCAACCGAACCCTAAAAGAAAAAGAAGAAATAAAAATCAAAGTCTCAAATGCTCCCAGCCCTGAGGCTGAGCACGTGCGTGTAAGACTACAACAACTTGAACTTCTTTTGAACATGCATTTTGCAACGTGAACCCCCCCCCCCCACCAGACACATGGAGCCCAACTCTCAGAGAGGAAATAACCTGGCTGCTTCACTTGGGCGAGTACCACTGAAAATGAGGGATGGAGATGCATAAGTTTGGCTTCGCCGCTCTCCCAACACCCAGTATGGTGGTACTCTGGTTTCCACTGCTAAATAATGGTAAAAAAAAAAAAGAAACAAAAAAACCCCCAAATCAAAACAACCCCCCCCAAAATGAAACACCAAAATGATATACGTATGAGCAGTTTGACACGAAGTGACCGCAGTGTGTGATCAGTTACTGGTGCCGGTGTCACACAGGGCGAAGGTAGAGGAGGAGAGGGGGTTCAATGTTCTAAGGTCAAACTGATGTCTCCAAGCTGTGTAAGGGGCTTTCGGGCTCCGGGACGGTGAGCTCAGCTTGATCGCTGTCCACTGCATTGTTATTTCTGTTGAGGGGTGTAGATCCACCCAGGATACCCCCACCTCGCTTCTTGAGTCCGTCAGTCTCAGGGTCGTCTTCAGCGCCATCAAGGAATGGTGTTCGAGGCTCGTCTTCCTCCAGGATGAACTCTGGGTGAGTCATGAAGTTATGGATGGAGCTTCTGGATTCGGGTTTCTCGAGGCCTTCGTACAAGGAGCTACGGAACGCATTCACCACTTTGATCTGGAGGAGGCGAGGAGCGTGGGGGATAAACAGAAGAGGGGTTAGTACCTGCTATGAGGGGCCAGAGCTCCCAGGAGAAAGGCAAAATAACTCATAAAGACACAAGAAAACAAAAAGCACAACAACAACAACAACAAGAACCACCACTGAGCAGACAGCTAAGTCGAAATGAAACATCTATGGTGAACTAGGAGGGCCAACATGGATCAGACTCAGGCACTAGGTGTGTGATGGGGAATCAACCGACTATGGGGCGACTTCAGAAGCTGCAAGAAAAGATACAAAACAACTCAAAACCCACGACCAACCCCCAGATCACTTCCAATGAACAGAAGCCAAAATGCATTAGTTGTCATTATGGGTGTGCACGCGTATCTGTGTGTACAAACGAGGACAAGTGGAACTACGACTCAAAAAAGAGGTGGGTTAGACAAACAGCAAACAAAAACACTACTGTGGAGCCGTGTGTGTGTGTTCTAGTTTGGGTTTAGACCCATAGAAAGGAATGGGCTTCAAAAAGGTGTCACAAACTTTTCAAGCCCATGTGAAGCAGCAGGTCCAAGTGGATGCCATGAGCACTAAAACTAGACCCAGCTAAACATGCAAGAAGGAAGCCAGATCTGTGTGAGTTTGCCCACACGGCTGCCACCTGGATCCTGGGCTGGAGCTCTGGATCCTTCCCTACATGCTGAAGAAGACCCAGCAGTTTCCAAAGGCTGTTGTTCTTTTGGATGCTCTGCACAAAAACTGATCTCAGACTCTGCTAGAAAGCCTGGCCACACATCCATAGGCTGCCAGCCCTGCCACAAGCCAGACTCAATGTGTTCCAAGCAGATCCAGAGCCCGGTTTGGACAACTGGGGTATGGCTCTGCTACCTCCATAGCACTGGAAGGGAGAGGTCTGGAAACAAGCAAGTGGTGGATTCACTGATCCCTCCATTTCCTCCCGAAATCCAGCCTTGAGGCCTCCAGCTCTCGCCCTCCCTTGCAGCCAAGTCACAGTTTGGATGGATGGGTGACAAGCATCAGACCCAGTGAACAGAGGGGCAGGAGGTGGCAGCACCATGGGGCTGCAGCAGAACTCTCTGCCCCAGTACAGCCACCAGCATGCATGAGCCAATGACTTGTGCATCCCAAGTGCAGCAGAGCTCCAACTGTCTGGGGTGAACTGGGGCTATCATCACTCCAAAAGACGTCAGAAAGCATCAACTGCAGGAGAGCTATGCAGTATGTGGGGTTCTGAAGCAGAGCTAACAAACCAAGCAGCTCAGGGTCTCCCAAGGGAACTGGGACATCTCCTGCCTTTCTAGAGGAGGAAGCTACTGACAGCATTGTCAGCAAGCACAGAGCATCCTGCACAAGCTCTCATGTGTCTTATGACAGCAAGAGAAGTCTTTACTCTGTTAAGCAGAGGTCATCTGGGACCAGGAGATCTGCTCCACTTCTCCTCTGGGTAGGAAATGCCTCCAGAACACTGTGAGACTTTGTTCAGCATCACTGAGCACAGCAGGGACATTGGTAACACCTCCCTGTAGCAGTGTCAGTCATCCTGCTCCATCTCCTGCCCTGTGGAAGCAGCAGGAGCTACCTTCATCTGCTCTCAACACTCAGGGAACCCAGTCCCCACTGTTTTCCCTGCATGGTATCCCTGGGGACTGAAGCTGGGATGCAAAAGGGAGGAGATCACACATCCCACAAGAGGGCTGCTCCTCCACAGCATCCCTAAGCTACACCTTGAGAACCTCCCCATCACCCAGCCACTTCTCAAGGAGTGCAGAGCTGCTGATTCAGATATCCCCTTGCAAGCTGATGAGGCAAATAAAGATGTTTGTTCTGCCACTTCTATGTGAATGGGCTGCAGATCTGGTGGGTGAACAGAGAAGACACCCTTCTTCTTGGTGAGATGAGCTGAGTTAAAGTGTCCACCTTGGTCTGGTACACGGGCAGGATAGGAGGGAAGTCACCAACCAGCACAGGCAGCGAGAGCCTCCTGGGGATCTCTGGTATCAGCACAAGCAGCATTCACAAAACCAGGCCAGAAAGGTGACCCAAAGAAGAGTCTCCTGCCTGGATCCCTGAAGGTTTTACCTGGGAGATGCTCCAGGGCTCCCCTCTTGGGAGGGCTGAATCCAGTCTCCATCTGGCTCAGAGATGGTGCTGCCCTACCTGGGGCAGCAACGTGGCACCCTCAGGCACAGGCTCAGCACATCCCAGCTGGAAACAAACACCCCAGCTCTGCACACACCAGTGGAGCTGCATACGCACACATGAGCGGGATGACAGGCACTCATGAGGAGATGAGTGTGGGCCAGGTACCCCCCGGGATGCTGGAGCACCAGCTGGCCTGCAAAAGTGAAGGTTCCTGTAGCTGGGAACAGATCCAGAGCTGTGTTTGATGCACTAAACCCCACAGTCGGATCCTGGATAAATTTGGTGTTTAGTGTGAACACACAGCACAAAGGAGACCACCAAGCAGGCCGCCTTCAACCAAGAACCTGTCACATCTTCCACACCTTAATAGCAATTTGCAAGCACTGATAAAAGCCCCTGCCCCTACAATGCAGTGTGCAAACCCAACTGAACCAACCACAACCAAGAGAGCCCAAGTGAATTGGGCAGCCTGGTACAAGCTTAGAGGCAGGAGTAGCTTCACAGAAGCCCTTCCTACCCCACCGTCTCAAGCACTGGTGAGTCCAGACCCCATCTACCACATCCCTGCCCTTCAATAAACTCAGCACTGCTCTACCAATAAAATTCAGCCACAGCTTTCCTCAAGCTTTTCTTACTTTGATTTAACCATCTCTGTCAGCAACTGCTGTGAAATTAACTCAGCTGTTCCCTTGTCAAAGGAACCCAACAGTAAGGAACTGCCTTCTGAAAGAGCAAAACCAAAACCAAAATCCACCCCACCGAGCCAACATCCCACCTCCCTCCTTTCCACCCACAACCTGCACAACCTCCATCCTTCTCATTTCACACGAGCGCTGCAGCACCACAACGTGCTGGGCAAATCCCACTGCTCACATGGAGATGGGAATGACATCTTCTGTGGGAAGCCAGCAGCAGCTCCACCACTGACCCTGACTTGCTTTGCCCAGCTCCTTCAAGCAGGGCAAAACCCCCATGGGAGACCAGCTCAGCCTTGCAAACCATCTCCATCTGCTGAGGGTTATTCCTGAGATTCCTTCTCCTCCAGCACTCCAGAGGGGCACATCCCTCAGAAGAGCAGTGGAAGGCAGAGGGACACTGTTAATCTGTATGGAGGGAAGTGGAGCTTTGAGAGAGAGAGAGGAGAGGGAAGCAGCAGAGGGAAATAGATAGAAGTCTAGGCAGGAAACAGAGGGAAGACTTAGCAACCTGGGTTAGCTTCTTGTCAAGCTGTTTGCTGCCTGGAAAGGCACAAGCTATCCAAGTTATCTAGCCCCTTGCTGCATATCAGGGAGAACATTTATCCACAGACTGCAAAAAACCCATGGTGTGGTCTCACCCACCCAAGCCCACTACCCTGAGACCCCTCTAAGCTGGTTTTCTTCCCCTTAGGAAGACTCGGTGGTGCACGGATGCAGTCAGGAACAGAAGGCAGCTGCGCTGCTTCAGAAACACTGGGGTTAAACAGAATCGACTTCAAGCATCAGCATCAGCTAAATAGAGAGAAAACAAAATGATCAGGAATTCTCTCTTCTCTCCCACAGTTCACAAACAGTGGAGACTGAAAGCTATTCCAAAAGTCACCAAGGGTCTTTCTTCAATAAGAGGAGAACACAGAAAATGACTGTGCAATAAAAAAAGCCAATTATCCAGGAAAGAAACACTACCTACGGCCAGCCTGGCACAGCCCTGCAGAGAGAGAATCCACGCTCATGTGCTCACAAGCCCGTATACACAGATCACAATGAACACGGAGAGGGGCACTGCACCAGAGAGGGCTTTCCTTTGGACTGGAAGCCCGCAGCTAGATCCAGGATCCAGCTTTCCCACTGGTGTCCAGCAGGGCCACGTTTTCCATCTCCATTTGCATGCAGAGAGTCGCGTGTGTCTGGTCTGCACAGACTGGCTCTCAGTGTGTGCAGAACAAGCTGGGCACCGGTGGAGCCTGGTGCCGTCCCTGCCGAGCTCCAGGGCTCGCTCAGCCCCATCTCACACAGCATGCAAGCTCACAGGCAGGATGGGGATGCTGCTTGCTTACAAGCCAGCTCTGAAACAGCAGGTTGAGCTGCAAGCTCAGAGCTGGGCAGCTCTGATGCATCACCATGGGCTGACTGAGCTGTGGTAACCAGCTGCTCTCCGAACCGAGGAGCAAACAGCCCTTCTCACAGCCATGCAAGAGGCAGGGAGCACACAGGCAGCCCCTTACCACGGCTCAGCCCATCCCAGTAGCACACTGACTGCTGTGGGAAGGTCCGAGTGGCCACTCTGCCTCCAAACAGCTTTGGTAAAGCAACGTCTCTGCCCATCCCTGGGGGCATCCCAGGGCTGGGCAGAGCCGCATGGGAAGACAATGTCACCTTTTGGGTGCACTGTGCCCTTTTCACAGCAATGCTTTTTAGTTGCTCGTGAACACAAAGGTTCTCTGAACTAGAACCACCAGTTTTGGCACCCCTCAGGAGGGTGGACTCAAACATCAGTCCTGCAAAGGAGGAGAAGAGGTAAAACTGGAGGAAGCAACAAGGGATGGGGTGGGGGGAAAGGACCAGGGTTAAAGATGCAACTGCATAAAAACTATTCCTTTTTCAAAATGCTCTCCCGCCCCATCCTTCATTTGGGAAATGAGTGCGAGTCAAGGTTTAGAGGGAGAGAGAACAGGCTGGGTTAGGTTGGTGCAGGTGCTCTCTGTGGTTATTAGAAGTCATGCATTGTAATAGACTATCACTCACTGCCCGCAGGAGGAGATGCAGCAGCAGCAGCAACAGCAGAAGTGGTGGGAGTGGAATTGACGGAGGAAAGAGCTACATGGGTTGGGCTAGAAACATTTTTTACATCGTGGTGCTGGCTCACGATGGAAGGCTGTCTCCTGAGGGCTCCCTGCAAAGAGGAGGCGCCGGTCTGGAATGTGTAAACTACGTCCATCTGCAAAGAACCAGAGAGTGAGATAGCGTCGCCCCGGCCAGAGACAGGGAGAGGGGATGGGGATGGAAGGGAGCAGGGAGGTTGGGCAGACACACAGGGACAGGAAGGAAGAAGGAGGATGGAGAGGTGGGGAGGAGGGAGCCCCCCACCCCGCACTCCCATAAACCCACACCGGGTTTGTGGCTGGCATTTCTGGGAGCAGAGGAGAGGTCCCAGGCTCACAGGGACAGGGTTTATCCCACCACCAAGAAGGAGACTGTGGTGGGAGGGAGCGACAGAGGAAACACCTTGGGTTATCCCAACAATCTGCAGGAGGAGCAGAGAAAGAGAGAGGGTGGGCAGAGGTGCGAGCTGGCAGCCAGTGATCCGGGAAACTGCACTGGGAAAGGGTTTCTGGGCCCTGAGCCCCATGGGATGCGCATGGGGTCTGAATCCTGGGATAGACGATGCTCCATGGCAGCCGGCCATGCTGGGAGACGTGCCAGCCTCTCCCCCAGCCTCCTGCTCTGCACAGGGATGCAGCAAGGAAGCGCCCTCAGTGGATGAGCCACAGTTGCTCTGTCACTGCGCACCGAGGCCAGAGGAACCCAGCAGCATCCAGGTACCACTGCGGCTTCCAGCCCCATCCTGACCAGAGCACAGCCTCGGCTGCACAGCTCCTTAGGGAGGGACACCTCCTCCAGCCCCACACGCTCACCCTGGGGGTGTCTTACACACTGCTTCACTCCTCCAGGCTGATTGCCCTCCACGGAGGGACCTCCCTTCCTGAGTGCACAGGAGTCCTGCAGGGAAGAGCCCCGTGCTCTCCTCCAACCCGCACCGAGTCAGGACAGAAGCCCCAGGATGCTCGGGTTGACCTCGCTGCTCTGCTCCACGACAGGAAGGAGCTGCTAAAGATGCTCCAGGATGTGCCAGCATCCAGGAACGTTCTTCATGTTCCAAGAGCTCATTTCAGCCCAGGTCCATCACAGCTGCAGGGAGATACCTGTGAGGCTCAGCCTCAGTGGCACAAGCGGCCACTGGTACTGCAGCTGTTCATATGCAACTGGACCCTTCCAAAGCAGCCCAGTGCTCCCAGCACATCTCTCATGTGAATGAGCCACACGGAGCTGTCAGCTCAGCCCCATGCACTGCCCTGGGCTGCAGAAAAGCCCATCTGCCCCTCACCACGGGCAGGGAGTCAAGGCTCTCCCTCACCATGAAAGCCTCAAGGCAAGAGCTCACAGAGAAGCAAAGTTAACACAGCACAAAACAGCTGCTGTGCTCGCTCCGTGTCTGGGCCACTTTGGTGACCTGCGTCTGTTGGAGGAGCAGAGGAGGATGAACAGCAGGTTCACAGCAGCCCTGCGTGCCGGGGACGTGGGGGACCTCCAGCTTTCCTCCATGGGGCAGCTCTGCCCCGGTGCCAAGGAAAGACAACAGTGATTCGTTGCAGGGAGCGCTCCCTGCCCTGCCCAGCAGCATTCCAGGGTTAAAAAAAACACCCTTTCAGGAAAAACTGAGTCAGGGAGAAAGAGCTGATGCAGAAATCCACATTAACAGATTGATTCTCCTCCCTTTCTGTGCTGTGGGGCCAAGAGCTTGAGGCCAGGAGGCTGCAGACTGGCAGGGAGGGGTGGCAAGAGCCCTTGGCCAAAGAGCTGTCAGGAAGGGCAGCGGAGGAGTGAGACCAGCGAGGGTCTCATGCAGGCAGATTCCTCTTGGGCACATTCCCCTCTGGGAGCAGCATCCCCACAGTGACCAGGAGCAGCTTCAGAGCTGACACCTCCAAGAGCCCTGGAGGCTCCGTGCCCTGGCCCCACAGCTTCCGAGCACCCTCCTCTGCTGCATGAGGTGCCCATCAGCAGCACATCCAGCCTCAGGCTGCGGGACACTGTGTTCCACATGGGAACAGGCGTGTGCCTCCCCTGGCCCAAACCCAGGCTGCCCCAGCCAGAAAGGCACGGGTGGTGGGAGAAGTCTAGCCCAGGAGGTGATGGCATCCTCTGAGCAGCAGCCTCTTTCCAGGCAGAGCCCCTGGAGAGAAAGAGAAAGAAGGAAAGAGAGAGAAGGAAGAGCCCCCCCCATCCCCACTGCCCCACAGTACCTGTGTCTGTATCCTATTGAGACCCCTGAACCACAGGATCTGCCCGCGCCGCAGCTCCATCTCAGCGTGGTCGATCTCGTCCACGTCTTCAGGCAGCTCCTCCTCTGGGATCTCCTCCTTGGTGATGCCGTGCCCAGCTTCCTTGAGGAACTTCAGGTGGCTGGTTGGGACAGTGCAGATGAGCTGGGAGAGGCAGGGAGAGAGCAGCTCCTTAGCTTGCAGGTTGGGGCAGCGTGGAGCCCACCACCGAAGGCAAAGCAACAAACTGCCAGGACTCAGCTGGGACACCCGGATACCGCTGCTTGGAAGCAGGGTGGGAACAAGGAGCAGATGAACAACCTCCCCTCCTCACTGCTGGGATGGAGCTGGGATGGAGCTGGGATGGAGCTGGGATGGAACATCCCCCCCTTGCAAAGCTGCCTTGAACAAACACCAGGGAGGATGAGGAGGGCAAGGCAGGCTGGGCTGCAAGCGCATGGCACATGGGGTGTGTGTGTGTGTGCTCTTACCTGGCCCCAGAGGAGCTCTCCCACTCCGATAAAAATACACCAGAACCACTGGCTGAGGGTGAGGCCGGAGCAGCTGAACGGCTTCCCCCCAAACTCCACAATGAGGATCTGCAGCACAGGAGAGAACAAGTCACACACTGCAGAGCTGCATCGCGCAGCCATGGGACCACCACGTCCCCTAAAGGCCACACATCTCTTCCCCCTTTCCCAGGGATCGCAAGGGGAGCCAAGGACCTCGAACAGGACAAGGGGTGATGGGTTTAAACTGAAACAGGGGAAGTTCAGGTTGGAGATAAGGAAGAAGCTCTTTGCTGTGAGGGTGCTGAGGCGCTGGCACAGGGTGCCCAAAGAAGTGGTGACTGCTCCATCCCTGGCAGTGCTCAAGGCCAGGTTGGACAGCCCTTGGGCAACATATGCGAGCCATCCCTGCCAATGGCAGGGGTTGGAACTGGATGAACTTCAAAACCACTCAATGATCCATGATCCTATTCACAGGACACCAGAGACACGCTGACCACCCCTGGCACCTCCCAACACTCTCTAGACCCCAATAACCAGGCTTTGAGTCACCAAGAAGCTGCTGGAGCAGAACAAAAGGGCCAGAACAGAGCTGAAGGCAGTGACTGCAGCACACACCGGTCCTCCTGCGGCACGGCCCCCTCCCAGCCCCACCATTCATCCCTAAAGCTTCACCTGAGCTGCAAACGTGCCCAGCACCACAGAGCAGAAGATGGGGTTGCGGTAAATGGCCTCGAAGACGTTCCTCTCGCCGTGGATCTTGCGGGCGTTGATCTCGTTGAACAACTGCATCATGACAAAGGTGTTGAAGACGATGGTGTAGTGCTCGGTGGGCGGGGAGTGCAGCGGGGCATTGCGGCCGCTGTCGATGTCAAAGAACCTCTCCCCTAAGCAGACAAGTGGGATTGGGAGGGGATGGGGAAGGACAGGGAAGAGAGAAGGTGAGATCCTGGCTCCTCGCTTCTGCTTCGCACTGCAGGAGGTGGAATTAGGATCCCGGGCTCTTGCTGATGATCCTGTGACCCAGTTGGAGCCCCCCCGTGCTAGCTCCAATGAATGCTTAAAGATGTTGAAAAGCTGCTTCCCTGGCTCTAGAACTAAACCCCCTCTTCCTTATTACCCTCCTGCTCCCCGTCTGTTATTATTAAGCCTTCCAGTACCTAAAGGGGCTACAAAAAAGCTCAAGAGGAGATTTAGGCAAGGGCTTGCAGGGACAGGCCAAGGGGAATGGCTTGAACCTGCCCGAGGGGAGACTGAGCTGAGCTCTTAGGCAGAAGCTCTTCCCTGTGAGGGTGCTGAGGCGCTGGCACAGGGTGCCCAGAGAAGCTGTGGCTGCCCCATCCCTGGCAGTGCTCAAGGCCAGGTTGGACACAGGGGCTTGGAGCAAGCTGCTCCAGTGGAAAGGGTCCCATAGGTCCCCATTCCATGGTTCTATGATTAAATAAGCTCTGTCCTGGCCAACACAAGTTCATTGAGTGACAACGAAGAACAAGAGATGCAGGGCTGGGGCTTCTGCCCCTTTCTCACCATCCTCCTGCTTGTTGGGGCCTCAAAGCTCACCTGCGAAGAGCAGCGTGAAGATGATGGCAAGCTGGTACACGGCATGCCCCAGGATGTTCTTCATCATGGTGCGGGAGATGAGCGGCTTGTTGCGGCCATAGGGCTTGCGCAGCAGCAGGGACTCACATGGGGGCTCGGTGGCCAGGGCTAAGGAGGCGAAGGTGTCCATGATCAGGTTCACCCACAGCATCTGGACGGCCTTCAGCGGCGAGTCCTGCAGAGAGAATGGGAGGAAGAACACATCACACCACCAAGATCACCCTCTTCTCCCTCCTTGTGTCGCAGGAGCCTCCACTCTCCTCCCACCAAGCCCAGCACCCCCTTACCTGCGTGATGCAGGCCCCCGTGAAGGCCACGATGACGGCCACCACGTTGACGGTCAGCTGGAACTGCAGGAACTTGGAGATGCTGTCGTAGACGTTGCGCCCCCACATCACTGCCTTGACGATGCTGGTGAAGTTGTCATCCGTCAGGATGATGTCCGAAGCCTCCTTCGCCACGTCTGTGCCTGCGATGCCCTTGAGGAGCAGGGAGAAAGCAACAGGGTGAGTCATGGAGCAAGCTCTGCTCTGCTCTGGCCTGAGCCCATCCTGCGTTTGACAGCGAGTTCTACCACAGCACCTGGGCGTGCAGAGGCTCTGTAGCAGTGAAGCCTTCAAGAACAGACATGGGCTCTGGGTCAGTGCTGCTTTTCAGCCCCACATTGGCCACGTTTGTTCTGCAGGAGCTGAGCTCGCTGCTTTTCTCCCCGCTGGCACACAGAGGCGCTCGCTTTGCAGTGATCAAATGCACTGAGGCTCATAAGGAGCAGGCTTTGTCTCGGGCAGGGACACCCAGGCTGCTGCTGCAGGCTGTGAGCTTCAGATGCAGCTGGACAGAGCTGTCCCATGTCCCCTCTGCTCCCCACTCTCTGGAGGTGCAGCACTTAGCCCCCAGCAAAGCCCAGTGCCTGGCCCCATGGAAGGGCTGCTCCTGCACGTGAGGAGCCTGGGTGATGAGCTGCAGGGATGAAGCAGGATGAACTGCAGGGATGAAGCAGGATGAACTGCAGGGATGACCCAGGATGAACTGCAGGGATGACCCAGGATGAACTGCAGGGATGACTTACTGGGCAAGTTACTGACCCCACAGCTCAGCCATCAGGGCCAGGCAGGTCCCTGCAAGTGCCGGGCACCTTTAGCTTGATGTGGTCCCTGCAGCTGGGACAGAGGAGCCCAGCCATAAGGCAGCATCCCACTGACTGCTTCTCATCAATCTTCTGCTATGAATTTACTGAGAATTAAACCAAACCTCCAAATCAAGTTTCACTAATCCACAAATATGAGAATAACCAAGTGTGCCAGTAGTTCTGCACCCAAAGAGAATGGGAAACCCACTGCCCATCTGTACCATAGCAAACCCAACATCAGCTTTCTTCAGAGCTGGGCCATCGTTGGTCCCGTCCCCAGTCACAGCCACCACCTGCCTCTGGTCACCAATGGTGCTGTCAATGATACCTGGAACAGAGACAAGCAGTTGAGAGGAAACTAAGCCCCAAGGGCAGGGGCCAGGCTGCAAAAGCCCCTGTGCAGAGCAGGATGAGACACTGGGAGGCAGCAGCTCACCTTTCACCAGCGTGTGCTTATCTGTTGGGGAGGAGCGCGCCAGCACACGCAGCTTGGGCCAGATCTTGTCCAACTGCTCCTGTTCCACCTGCGGGACAAAGCACGTGTGAGAAAGGGCAGGAGCACCCCTGGAACCTTCTGCCTCACTTAGAGCACTGTGTGCAGTTCTGGTGTCTTCATGTAAGGACGTGGAGCTGTTGGAGGGAGTCCAGAGGAGGCCATAAGGATGGACCTCAGAGCAGCTTCCAGTGTCTGAAGGGGGCTACAAGGATGCTGGAGAGGGGCTCTTCATCAGGGACTGGAGTGATGGGACACGGGGTGATGGGTTCAAACTGAAACAGGGGAAGTTCAGGCTGGAGATAAGGAAGAAGCTCTTCCCTGTGAGAGTGCTGAGGCACTGGCACAGAGTGCCCAAAGAAGTAGTAAAGGCTCCATCCCTGGCAGTGTTCAAGACCAGGTTGGACTGGGCTTGGGTGACATGGCCTAGTGTGAGGCATCCCTGCCCATGGCAGGGGGCTGGAACTGGGTGATCTTAAGGTCCTTTCCAGCCCAAAGCATTCTATGATGCTACAAGACAGAGCCTCCACCTCCAAGCACTCAGATGGTGCAGCTGCACTGGGTACAGACCCCAGCAAGCAGAGGGACCAGCTGCATTTATCCATAGATAAGAGGAAAACCCACCCCCTCCCTGCAGAGCAGGCCCCAGGGCTGCTCTCCCACCTCTCCCTTCTCGTTGCGGATGAGGCGGTTGAACTCCTTCCCCTCCAGGCACAAGAAGTCCTCCCCGGGTAGTAGGATGCCACACTTGGTGGCGATGGCACGGGCGGTGTTGATGTTGTCCCCAGTCACCATCCGCACAGTGATGCCGGCACGCTGGCACTTCAGGATGGCATCTGGCACCTGGGCGACAAGGACAGATGGGTCTGGATGCTCAAAGTATCCCCAGAAACAGGTAGCTCCTTTCCCATCCTCCCTAAAAGGACCTGGAAAGGGCCCTGGTGGGGTCAGGGACCTGCCTCCAGCCAGAGCTCAGTGCTCACACTGAGATGCTGAACCAACAAATCCGCCTCCAGCACCAGCACAAGCGTCAAGAGAAAGCCACCAGGGACTGGAGAAGATGCCTGCCCTGCTCCCAGCCTCATGTGCGTGTCCAGAGCAGCTCCTCCAGCACAGACAACACAAGAACCTCCAGCCCCCAAGGGGAAAGCAACCTCGCTGCCTCCCCTCATCACGCTGCAGTGCTGGGCGCCAGGGCTTGGCCAGGCAATCCATCAAAACAGGGGCACTTGAGCCACCCTGCTCCAGCAGCACTAATGGGTTTAGCCATTACAGAGCGGTGGGGGAAGAGGATATTAGTGAGAAATTAGCAAATTGAATCAGTGGCCTCCAGAGCCGGTGCAGACGGGGCATCTGTAATGCAATTCCCAGCCCCAGATACTTGAACATCTAATCAGGAAAGATGCAAGCAAGGCGGGAGCGTGGGGGCAAGCTCCAAAATGTAATCAGGAGGCAGGTATTGGAGGGCTGATTGCATTAGCCCAGCTGCCTGCCCCAGCAGAGGCAGAGCTGTGAGGGAGGAACCAGCTGCATCAGCCCTGTCCCCCTCACCCCTGCATGGTGCCTCTCAGCACCTTTCAACTGATGTAGAACCCTAATGCACAGACCCCTTTTAGCAACTGGGGGGAAAGAGTGGGCAGAAACACCCTCCCACCAGGTCATTCTGTGCAGGTAGGGGACAGAAACGCCTGCAGGATGGAGTTGGTAGCGTGGGGTACTTCAGAGATGGATGCAGAGGAGCCAGGGCAGAGGGGGTTCGGTACCTCTGGCCGCACAGGGTCCTCTATCCCCACCACAGCAATGCAGGTGAGGTCAGACAGGATCTCGTTCTCGCTGTCCCAGTCAGGCTCGGCATCAGCAGGGAAGTCCCGGAACGCCAGGCAGATGGTGCGCAGCCCGTGGCAGGCCATGGGCTCAATCACCTTCTTCACCATCTCATCCCGGTCCTTCACCTTGAACACCCGGGGGTCACCGTTCTTGTCCAGGATCTTGGTGCACCTAACACAGGAGCGGGATGGAGGGTGAGGGAGGAGCACATGCTGCCAGCATCTGCTCCCCCGGTCACCCAGGTTCCCCATCCCTTCATTGAAGTCACCCTAAAAGAGTGAAACACATCACACAGCAGCACCTCCCTGCTCCAGAACTGGGCACCCTTCACCCTGCAGCCCCCCCCAAACAGCTCCATGGTGCATCTGAGCCTAAAGCCCATGGGATGGGGAGAGGACCAGCGTGCTGAAGGAGGATGGTTACTTGCGGAGGATGATCTCGGAGGCTCCTTTGCTGTACATGCGGAAGCCGCCGTTGCTGTTCTTCAGGACCGTGCTCATGGACTTGCGCACCGAGTTGAAGGTGTAGACCTTGTAGAGCTTCTCCTCTGGCACCTCATTGCGCACAGCCTGGTAATCCTGCTTCAGGTCCAGCACGAAACCCAGCAGGGCACACTCGGTCTTGTTCCCCACTTGCCTTGGTAGCCCGCCTTCCTTCTCGGGTGGCTGGAGAGGAGAAAGGAAAGGAAACGCAATGCCAAACCTGGATACGGCAGGATGGGAGCTGCAGGTGGGAAGACCAGCACGCAAGGTTGTGGTTCTCCAACTCACCAGGATCTTGGATGTGTAAGCTGAGTTGATGGAGACACCGTTGACAATGAGGTCTAGGGTCTTGGGCAGGATGGCTTCGGGATCAGGGATCTGGCGGTAGTGGGTATCCCCCACATAAGCCTGCACCACCGTCATGCGGTTCATGGTGAGCGTGCCCGTCTTGTCCGAGCAGATGGCGGTGGCATTGCCCATGGTCTCACACGCATCCAGGTGCCTCACCAGGTTGTTGTCCTTCATCATTTTCTGCAACAGGCACCACAAGCAGGCAAGTCAGAGCCCAAAGCCTTGAATCCCCTCATCATACCCATGGCGACCCCATTGCACCTTCAGAGCCCAAAGCCTTGAATCCCCTCATCATACCCATGGCGACCCCATTGCACCTTCAGAGCCCAAAGCCTTGAATCCCCTCATCATACCCATCGCAACCCCATTGCACCTTGGTCTCACCTTCACAGAGTAGGCCAAGGAGATGGTGACTGCCAACGGGAGCCCTTCAGGCACAGCCACCACCAACACGGTGACACCAATGATGAAGAACTTGACGAAGTACTGGATGTAAATGGGGGTGCACTCTGCCAGCCAGGGCCGCCGCTGCACCCCAAACGTGTCGATCACGAAGTACAGCACCAAGATGATGACCGTGATGGCTGACATGATCAGCCCTGGGGGAAGAAGAGGCAAAGGAGGAGGTGAGGGGATGCTGGGCAAGGGGACAGCAAGGAGACAGCCCATGGAGGGCCACTTACCCGCCTTCCCAATCTGGACTGCCAGGCGTGTGAGCTTCCCTTGCAGCACAGACTTCTCTTTCTTAGGCACCTTCACCTTCTTCTTCTCCTTCTCCTCATTTTCCACCCCTTCCTGGCTCTTCAGGGGCTGGATCTCTAAGGCCACACCATCCTGAGTTTTAGCTACAGCCCAGGGTAAAACAAGACACCACGTGTGAATAGGAGAGAGACCAGGAAAACCTCTGGGACACCACTGAGAAAGATGGTGGTGAGAGAGAGAAAACCCAGAACAAGAACCATTCCCGACGACACACGCATCCGAGCACATGGAAACCTCCTGTCCCAGGGCCCTGCCTCTTCCCTATGGGGCAGTTTTCTCTTATCTACCCCAGCCCTGTGGATAAAGGATCCTCAGAGCTGACACTGGTACCGGTCACACCTCTAAGGCAGCACTGCAAGGAGCCCTCTGGCCAGGGTCTGGGGTGGAAGCAGGTCTCTCCTAGCCTCCCCTATGGTTGCTTTGCACCCTGCAGTGGATGGGGAGCCTTTTGGGCTGACCCCAGAGAGCCTCCAGTGCTCCCAGTCTCCTGACGAGCAACCCCAGTCCCTCCCAGTGCCACCTGTACAGTGCCTTGTGGGCAGCTCAGCAGCAATCGCCTGCCAGGGGAGTGACGGAGGGGGTGAGATGGAGGGGGACGGTTAGCCATTGGGATGGAGGTTGAAGAGGAGTGAGCCAGCTCCTTGGATCGCAGCCCTGAGCCATCCATCACATCTTTAGCACCCGGGACAGCTGGGCTTTCAGTGGCTACCATGGCCTGGTCCAGCTGGAGGCCTGCACCAGGAGACCCAGCTCAGCTGGAAGTTTTGGAGAGGGATGGGAAGAGGATGGGAAGAGGGTGGGAACCCCCCCCCAAAAGCTGCCTGCAGGCCCCCCAGGACCTGTCCCCTCCTGGCTGCTGCTGCTGGAGACAGCCTGGTAGCTCCCAGCAGCTCCACACCGGACACCTCCACGGTTACAACAGACCCGACACGGACAGAACAAGCACCCGGACACAGTCTGACGGGAAGGAGGGAAACTCAAACTGCTGAGAGGAGAGAGGACGAAAGAGAGAGGTGGAGAGAGAGGTGCAGGGATGGGCTTCCTCCACAGCCTGCAAAGAACAGTGTGAGAAACACTGGCGAGGAGACGCTCACGGAGTCGAGGCCATGGGGGGAGAGGGTACAACCGTCACGTTGGCCAGGCCCCATGGGACGTCACCCCACACACAGCAGCAGGGGACCCACATCTCTGCCCCAAACACAAGCCCTGCAAAGGGACAGCCTCCGAGGGGCACTGCCAGGCTCATGTCAACATGGGTGATAAAGGGATGCTCTGTCGGTGGTCCAGGCTGCTGCAAGAGCCCTGTCCTTCCTGCACAAGAGCTTGGCCATGGGGAAAGGCGGCCACCCCATCCCAGCTACACACAGCCCTATGGTGGGTACCAGAGGGCACCGTGCTGGGGCCACCGGCCACGGGACCACTGCACCCTCTCCCAGGACAACGAGGCGAGAGTCCCGCCGGAGCAGCAAAGAGCACAGACTGATGAGAAGAAAGAAGGAAGGAAGGAAGGAGGAATGCTCAGTAGTTAGTGTGGTGCTGGTTCAAAGGATGGAGAGGCTGGTTACCTTTGTTGCGATTTTCGGGGGCTCCGCTTTTTTTACCTGTTCAAAGACAGAAAGGGTGGAGGGCTCAGCACATGGACCCACGGCCATCATCCGGCTGCTGGGACAGCCCAGGGCCAGCCACGCTCCGGTGGGATCCATACCCAGGGCTCAGCTCTCTGCTGGCACCGCACTCGGTCCATAGCTCACGGCACCGGCAAGGCTCCGGAGCGCCCTGTGCTCCCTTAGGCACCCCATCCCTAAGGCTTCAGGCTTCCCCACCTGCAAAGCATCTCCTGCAACCCTCAGCAGCGCTTCCAAGGGGCATCTGAGACCTTTGGGGAGAAGGAACCACGCAGCAGAGCTTCTCTATGCAGCACATGCCAGGCACTGTGCTCCCTGCCTCCCGCTGCTGTGGGTGCAAGTGGATCCACACAGGAGACACAGAGTTGTCCCCTGCCATGGGCACCACTACAGCCTACTACATGTGTGATGGGCAAGCGGGTCCCCAGTGTGCCTCTACACAACATGGGGTCCCTGCAGTTCAAGCAAGCCTGGAGTGACAAGGGGTTCACGACCTTCTCCCCATCATCCCTTGGCACTATGAAGGGGACAAGCTGCTGAAGCCCCTTGCCCCACTTCACTCCCCAGTCGAGGGCTGCAAGGCACAGGGCTGGTTTGCTGTGGGGCTGAGCAAAGGCTGGGAAAGCACGGAGCCTGGGTGCCTCTGTCCCCACACCAGCACCATTCCCACACCTGATCCCTCACTCCCACCTCCAAGCTGGCAGCTAAACCCCAAGAGCTCCTCAGCTCCCAGTGCCAGTGAAGGGAGGGAGCTGCCCGGCCTGGGCGAACAGAGCTGCAGGAACCCAGCACAGACGCAGCCTGGAGCGGATCCGGATGCTTCCCCCCAACCTGGCATCACATCCCAGGAAGGGCTCCCTGGTGCTGCCGCCAGCAGCTCCCTCCTGCCAGCTCCCTGCACCTCACGGCTGCTCCCAAGGAGCACAGTGACACAGGGGAGAGCAGGAGCTTCCCAAGCCTGGCTTGTGCCAGCGCCGGCTTTAAACCAGCACAGAGCAGGGGAATAAAGCAGTGAGATGTGAGCACCAAGGCATCGAGTCCCAGCACAATGAGGAGCACCTAAACCTGCCGGGCTGCTCCCCACCCCTCCTTCCCCTCTTGCCTCCATCACCAGGGATGCCAGCAGAGATCGTCCCAAGGTTCTGGATGGGTTTCTGTCACCCTATGGACAGCCAGGACTCACCTTCCCACCAAGGCTGTGCAATGGGCATCGCTCTCGGCCACTTCTCCCTCTGAGCATTGATCCCCCCCTCACACCCCACAGCTCCAGGCTGTGCTGCTGGAGAAGAGACAGTTGGAGCCGTGTCCAAAGGAGCCGAGAGCCGAGGTCTGGGTGCTCGGAGGCTTTCCTCAGGGAGCAGGGAGGGATCCCCCTGCACCTCCAGAGCTCACTGTACCTGCCTGGGCCATGGGCACTAACACGCACCCCACAGAGGTGGGGGCAGCCTGACACACAGCAGTGGATGCTTCCCAGGAAAGGGAGAAAGGCAAAAGGAGGGAAAAGGCAGGTTCAATGGATCTCCTTACCTTTCTTCACCTTCTTCTCCTCATCTCCTTCTCCTGCCCCCAGAAGAGTGAAGATGATTCCTGTCTGGGAGTTGATACCCACTGCAGTCACCACCATCCTGCCAGAGCCCTCCATCACATGGGTACCTGGCACAGAAGGAGGGCGCAGTGAGACAGGACACCAGCACCACATCCCATCCCCTCCCCAGCACAACCCCCTCGCAGCTCCTCACCTGAGAGCAGCATGGGGTCTTTCTCCAGGGATTTCTTCACTTGGTCTGACTCCCCCGTCAGGGAGCTCTCATCTATTTTCAGGTCATTGCCCTGGATCAGGATCCCATCCGCTGGCAGGAGATCACCTAGGACAGGAGCAGAGAGGGGGTCAGCACAGCTCACCCTGCCCACCCCAGCGCGGGAAGGATGCTCTGTGTATCAGCAAAAGGACTTCGAATCCAACCTCAGACCAAATCTAGAGAGGGAAGAAGCAGCAGATGGGTATTCTAAGACAGATGGCTATTATAAGATGATATCCAGTAGGTCCAAAACCTTCCCTGATGTAGGAAAGCATTTGTTGGGAGGACTTCTGCTCAATCAGTGCTTCTCCCGTCTGGTTTTACTGAGTCAACAGCCCAAAGCCTCCCAATACACCCAAACTGCTTCACACTACACCAGCCAAGGAAGGCAAAAGGGAAAAGCTCTGTGTGAAAACGAAGACTCTGTTGGACCAATCTCCTTCCTGCCAGGAGCTGCATGGGATGAGCATTCCCCCTGGTAAACAAGGAGCAGGACCTGGTTTAGCCCAAGGGCTACATCTCCTTCCTAAGGAATGGTTCGCCAAGGACAGGAATCCTTTTTGAGACCAACAGGTCACTAAAGCAACCCAATGTGTGCAGAGCCTGGCTGAGCTCCATCACCTCCCCAGGAGCATCTCCCATTGCTCCTGGCCATGGGATGCTGCAGAACAGGACTGGAGGAGGCAATACTCCCCCTCAAGGCAAGAAGGGCTGGCAAAGCAGAGAGGAGGAAGCCCCAGGCTCCGAAGCAGAGGGGCAGCCCCCATGCATCCCCACTCACCGTACTTGATCTGCGCGATGTCTCCCACCACGATCTCTGCCACGGGGATCTGGATCACCTGCCCCTTGCGAATGACCGTGAACTTCTGCTCCTGCTCGATGCGGCTCTGGAGGCCCCGGAACTGCTTCTCCTTGCTCCAGTCATTGAAAGCGGTCACCAGCACCACGATGATCACCGAGAACAGGATCGCTGCCCCCTCGATCCAGCCGGCCTGAGACTCGCCCTCGTCCTCCACGCCCCCCGCAGACTGGCCACACACTGCAGGAGGAGGAGAAACCCTGTTTGTACCCGCTCCCCACTGAGCAACACATGAATAGAGACCATCACTCCTCCCTGAGCTGCTCCAAGGGCTTCCCCTGCTCCCAGCAGAGGGGTTTTACCTCCCTGGAGGCATCTGATTCCTTTCGGTTTTCTCCTTTCTGCTCCTCATTTTTGGCAGAGGTTGGGCTGAAAGAGCCAGGACAACCGGTTTCTATTCCCAGTTGGAGCACCCAGGCCTCCCTCTGCTCCCTGACCCTTGAGTGAGTCACCATCTCCATGCACCTCCGGATCCCTGCTCCTGCTTGGCTCCTCCAGCACCGGGAAGGAGAAACTTATCCAACACCATGGCCCAACCACACGAGGGATGTCGCAGCTGGAGCTACCAGGGCACAGCCAGTGTGGTCCCTGCATGTCCAAAGCAAAAGGGAAGCCCCATGGACTTGGGAAGCCACTGGACCAGATGGGCTCTTGCTCTTTGAGCATCTTCTGGGAGGGCAGCAAGGAATAGCTCTGAGCTGTGCCCAGACACATCCATCAATGCAGGTGCCTGGATGGCAAGGATCCCAAGGATGAGCAGAAGCAGCTCCCAGCTCCATCTGCACCACAGTGACCCACATGGTGGCCTTTCAGAGACAGCATCCACCCCAAAGCCCTGCTCCTGCATGGGAGCTGAAGCAGGTCCCCCCCACCACCAGCACAGGGCACTCACGTTCATTGTCACCACCCGGCGGGTGGTAGAAGGACAGCCCCAAGGAGACTATGGCTGCGATTTCCAAGATGATGAGCGTGACATCCTGCAGCGCTTCCCACACTAACTGCAGGAACGTCTTGGCCTTTTTGGGAGGAATGAAGTTCTGCCCGAAGACCTGCCGCCTCTTCTCCAGGTCGGTCGGGTTCCCAGACAAGCCTGGAGAGGGGAAGGATGGAGATGGGAACAAAACCCCAATGCGAGGAGCAGCTCCCTGCCTGCACAGGGGCACGGGGAGCAGGCAGAGGGGATGCAGAGCTTGGCTCCTGTCCCCGCCATGGGGCAGGGAGCACGCAGGGACCGTGGCCTGCAGGATGAGCCGCCTCTCACCAGTGCTGCAGCCGCACCACGAGCCCGAGTGCCAGTTAATGCCAGTTGGCACTGCCCGGCTTGTTTACAGGCGGCATCAAATTAGCCGTGAATCTGGCACCGCGAGCGGCGCTCGGAGCCGCCGGAGCCACCTGATCCCTCTTCTCCTGCCAGCTCCGAGCAGCCACCGGCCGCAGACCGGACCGGCGCAGCGGGAGAGTCTCTGAGCCCAGCCGAGCCCCATGGACATGGGAAAGGGGAGCAAAAGGGGGGCAAAAGGGGGGGCAAAAGGGGGGCAAAGCAGCCTTCAGTCTTCTGCCAGCTTCAAGGAGCAGATGCTCTGGGGACAGACCTGGTGCAATGGGAGAGTCTGAGCTCAGCCAAGTGCTATGGATGGGGGGCAGAACGGGGGCAAAAGGGGGGCAGGGGGGCAAAAGGGGGGCAAAAGGGGGGCAAAGGGGGGCAAAAGGGGGGCAAAAGGGGGGCAAAAGGGGGGCAAAAGCAGCCTTCACTCTTCTCCTGCCAGCACCAAGGAGCAGATGCTCTGAGGACCGACCTGGTGCAATGGGAGAGTCTCTGAGCTCAGCCAAGTGCTACGGACATGGGGCAAAAGGGGGGCAAAAGGGGGGCAAAAGGGGGGCAAAAGGGGGGCAAAAGGGGGGCAAAGCACCCTTCAGTCTTCTGCCAGCTCCAAGGAGCAGATGCTCTGGGGACAGACCTGGTGCAATGGGAGAGTCTCTGAGCTCAGCCAAGTGCTATGGACATGGGGCAAAAGGGGGGCAAAAGGGGGGCAAAAGGGGGGCAAAAGGGGGGCAAAAGGGGGGCAAAAGGGGGGCAAAAGGGGGGCAAAAGGGGGGCAAAAGGGGGGCAAAAGGGGGGCAAAAGGGGGGCAAAAGGGGGGCAAAAGGGGGGCAAAGCAGCCTTCACTCTTCTCCTGCCAGCACCAAGGAGTAGATGCTCTGGGGACCGACCTGGTGCAATGGGAGAGTCTCTGTGCTTAGCCAAGTGCTATGGACAAGGGGCACATGGGGCAAAAGGGGGGCAAAAGGGGAGGCAAAAGGGGGGGCAAAAGGGGGGGCAAAAGGGGGGCAAAAGGGGGGCAAAAGGGCTTTCCCATCCCAGGGCGTGGGCCAGCAATTGGACACAGTTTATCCTGGTCATCCCCTGGATTTAAAAGCCATTAAAAAGCTGATGGGGTCCCAGGTGAGAGCAGCCCCCCCGTTGCCCAGCACCACCTTAACCAAGCCCTGCACCGAGCCCCCCCAGCTCTCTCCACCTTAAGATGGCCCACGGGGCTGCTGCCAGCTCCCGAGATGCACCGGGCAGGCGGCCGCAACAGGGGCCCTGGATGCATCCCTGTGCCTGGAGCAGCCTGGCAGCGATGCCCTCCCGGGAGGACCAATTCCTCCTGCTTGGGACAGCTCTGCCATCCCATCCAGAAGGAAGCATCAGGATGAATCCCTTTCCCCTTCCACGCACCCCACTTTCTGCTGCGGCTACACCCCGGCTGCAGGGAGGGGATGCGCTGGAGCAGCGCCCGGTCCCCACCCAGCTGTGACGAGGCAGCAGGATCCTGGGATCTCCCAGCCCCGATTCCCACCCATCCCAACGTCTGCAGAGGGATGGATGGAAAATGTGGCTAACTGCTGCGGGTTGACTCACACCGGGGCTGGGGAGGCACCGCGTGCGCCGGGCACACACACGTGCTCCCGCACAAGGATGCGGGATGCTGCCACAGGGCATGGAAGGTTGCACACGTGGCTCCTTCCAAAGCCTGCTTCCCATCCATGGGCATGACCCCGGAGCTCCCACACCCTCCTGGGGCAGTTTGGGAGGTGCTGGGGTTTCCAATTCACCTATTGCAAAGAGCAGATGGCATGGGTGCCATGGCTCCAGGTTGCCAGCCCAGGGGCTGGGGGGACTCAGTTAGTGGGGATGTGGATGGGAACCTTTGGATGGAGGCCACAAGGGACAGCAGGAGAACACCCCCCTGCATCAGAGACCCTGCAGGCTGGGAAAGCTGCTTTTGAGTGGCAAAACCTTCACCCTTCACAGCATGAACACTGGCACAGGGTGCCCAGGGAAGCTGTGGCTGCCCCATCCCTGGCAGTGCTCAAGGCCAGGTTGGACACAGGGGCTTGGAGCAAGCTGCTCCAGTGGAAGGGGTCCCTGCCCGTGGGACTGGATGAGCTTTAAGGTCCCTTCCAACCCAAACCATTCCATGGTTCTCTGATTCTTCCCAGGGGGAATTCACACACAGATCCCACACTGAACACACCAAGATGTGCCTGGTGTTCCCCACGTTCCATATCATCCTCTAAACCCCAGCTGGGGCATCCCACCTGCACACACTCCCCAAGCTCTCCAGAGCCGGTGGATCCCATTCCCCATCTCCCCAGGGATGCACTGCGGCAGGGACATGCTCCAGCCTGCAGCTTCCAACCTTGCTGGGGTTTCCCTGGGTGTCACACCATAGGGACAGCCCTGGCACAGCTGGAGCCGAACACCTCACCCTGATGGGATCAGATGGAGGTGACTCAGGCCTCAAAATCCCAGCTTAGAGGAAATCACCTTTCTTTGCTCTCAGTGCTCAACAGGACGGCGTTTGGGACACACAGCAAAGCTCCAGAGGCAGGGATGCGCTGGGGGCACCACACACAGCGATACCCATCAGTGCCTGGAAGCAGCACCGGATCCAGGAGCAGCCCTGCCACAGGGCCAAGCCTTTGGGGTCCTCTCCCTTCCCTCCCCTCTCCTCCCAATCCCAAGGATCCCGCTCCCACTTTGGCAAGGCCAAGCACATTGTTTTGTGACCTGGACTTGGTATTTCCACCGGGACTGCCCCCCCTTCTCTAATGACATCCCGATATTGTCTCTCCTTCCCGGTCCCGCTCACAGCTGGGAAACACGCTAATCCCCAGCTTACAGCACTAAGAATAACCCCGAGTTCTCAGCGCCGAGGCACAGCCACAGCCCCCAGCCCACGCAGCACCCTGGGGGCGCATCCTGTTCCCAAGCGCAGGTAAGCAGGGGCTCTCTCCCCCCTCTTTTAATGCCAAGGAAGGGGTGCAAAGACAGCCACAGCCACCCAGTGCCCACTGGTAAGGAAGGATGAGCTCCACACAGCCCCTCCTACCTTCACACTCTCCTTCATCCCCATCACACACAGCCCTCCATCAGCACTAATATAGGGGAACGGCTGGTGCTGACCGGGGGGGCAGCAGCAGAGAGGAGCTCCCACACATCCCTCTTATGCCCCATCAGCTCCTCACCCCTACCTGCATCCCACCTCCACTCCAAGCTCCCAGGGGATGCAGGGCTCCAGGCTATGCCTCAAGGGATCCCTAGGGAAGATGCTTCTCTTCTTTTACCTCCTTCTCTACCCTAAGTGATCATTCCATTCAGATGCAGGGAGCCACCTCCCACAAGGCTTGGGATGGGACCACGCTGGTTGAGCCACCAGCTCCATCCCAGAGGCACCCAAGCAAGTGGTCCCCCAGCACAGGGCAGCCGCTTACCTTCAACCGGCGACGTCTTCAACCTCTTGCAGACGTTCTGCACACTGCCATAGGAGTCATTGAGCCGGGCGACCGCCTCGGCGCTCCTCAGCTCCATGAGGTTCCTGAGCTCCACCATGGAGCAACCAAAGTCCCCCTCATGGTTGCCTTCAGCAACCGAGTTCCCGGGGTGGTGGTCGGCCACGTTGTTCGTCATCTTGCGGCCGGTGGCTCCTGCAGCACCTTCCTTCGAGGCTCTGTGGAGGGGATGCTCGGGACGGCCCCTTCCCTGGGGGCTGCCCGGGTGATGCAGGTGCCTCTATCCGAGCCCAACTTCTCCGGATAAAGGTGTAAACAGGATGTGCATGTTACCGCGGAGGCGACCTTAGCAACGACCAGCGTGCATCTCCTGCAGAAGGAGGAGGGCTCCCTGGATACCACAGCAACTGGAGCTGCAAAAACAAGGATGGGAAACAAAAATATCAGCGTTGGAAGCCTCCTCATAAACACACGGGATGAGCGGTACCCAAGGATGGGCACCCACCGGGAGGGATGTGGTTCACAGGCACCTTTACGCTCATCCAGCCCCGGGGCTCACCATAGAACCTGGATGAGCAGGAGTTGGGTTGGGAGGGAGCCGGGATAGGCTCGGCATGGGCTGTGTGGGGTGTTTGAGTGCAGGGAAAGCCATCGGCAGCGCGGGGGCCGGGCAGGAAGAGCTCCCAGGTGGTTCTTCACTCAAACCCGGCTGCCCGGCACACAGAAACGCTCCCATTCACCGGGGGTTAAAAATACACTCGGCAGTGGAAAACAGCTGCTTCCTGCATGGGCTGCTGGCCCGGGAGCACCGGATCACCGGCAGGTAGGAGACAGCATCCCCAGAGACGGCATCGACAGGATGGGGCTCGCAGCACCCAGAGCTTCCATCACTGGAATCATTCGGCAGGGAAGCTGCTAAAACGTGCTGGGTGAACGGTGGGACTCAATGGTTTTATGGGTCTGCTCCAACCTACAGGGTTTTATGATGGGAATTTTAGGATGTGGAGCTGGTGGAGTGAGTCCAAAAGAGGCCATGGGGATGCTGCGAGGGCTGGAGCAGCTCTGCTCTGGAGCCAGGCTGAGAGAGCTGGGCTGGGGCAGCCTGGAGAAGAGAAGGCTCCTGAAGGGGAGACCTTAGAGCAGCTCCAGTGCCTAAAGGGGTTACAGGAAACCTGGAGAGGGGCTTGGGACAAGGGATGTAGGGACAGGCCAAGGGGAATGGCTTGAACCTGCCCGAGGGGAGACTGAGCTGAGCTCTTAGGCAGAAGCTCTTCCCTGTGAGGGTGCTGAGGCGCTGGCACAGGGTGCCCAGAGAAGCTGTGGCTGCCCCATCCCTGGCAGTGCTCAAGGCCAGGTTGGACACAGGGGCTTGGAGCAAGCTGCTCCAGTGGAAGGGGTCCACTGGAGGGGGAGCTGCTCTGGTCAGAGGGGGGAAGAAAAGGGTTTCTCTGACGCAAGCTCAGATGGCAGCAGCGATGCTCCCAGGCACCTCTGCAGCACTACAGAGGCAAAGAGCCTGCAAGGGAGGATCTTTATGGACAGAACATGAAACCCTTCCTAGAGCAATATAAATGAATAACAAAAGGGGAACGGTCACTGAGGCAGCATCAGAGGCAACAGAGCAAGCAGAGATGGGAAGGAGGAAGGAAAACATCCATCACTGCTTCCCAGGAGCACAGGGGCTGCACCAGCCATCCCAAACTCATCAGACAAGCACCAGACCATCACGGGACCATCCCAACAGCACCCTGCACCAAATGCCCCCAGTTCCAGCCCTGATCACAGCAGCTTTGCAACCCCCTCCCTGCACACCCTGGTCCCTGAGAGCTCCAACCCCACCAGCAGCACCCAGGGAGGCTCTCGGTGTTATCAGGAGGCAACAGGCACCAACGGAACCTCAGGGACATCACTGCAGGAGGGCCCTGTCCACTGACTGCAGCAGCAGAGGGATGGGGAGCACAGGGACATCCTCCCCTCAATGCACTGCAGCTCCTGGGGCACCCAAACATGCACCCTTGGGCAGAGCATCGCTGCTCCCCCATAAAGCAGAGCTCACCAGCATCCCTAACACAGCATCCCCAACGCAGCATCCCTGACCATGCCCAGCCCGCTCACCCCATGGCTCCTCATGGAGCTGAGCTCATCTGTGTTTTAGAGGCACGAAGCTGCTGGCAGCGGGGGGCAGGAGGTGACAGGTCCAATTAAACAGACTCCTGCTGATTAAGAGTAAAAAGCTTAACCCCCCCCCCCCCCCGACACGCTCATTTTCCCCTCTCTTTCATAGCAACCAAGAACTTCTGATGAGAGCTTAGAGGCTAAGACAGTTAATTAACACTGCACAGCCTAGTCCATAATTACCCCTGGAGGAGCTCAGGGGCACCCAACATCACCAGCCCATGCCCAGCCCCTCGGGCTTGCTCTGACAGGAGGGACCATGGTGGAGGAAAGCTCCTGTTGTCCGCTCTGAGCATCCTCCTCCAGCCCCGTTTGGGGTCAGAGCATCAATCTGCTCCTGTCCCACAGGACAGGCTGGAGGCATCCATCCCAGGCAATCAGGGCGCTGTGCTCAGCCTTCCCTAACAGCCAACGCTCCAATGAGCTCCTAATGACTCCAGCAGCATCCAGCAACCTGTTCCCAGCTCCAGTATCTCATTCAGAGCCCCCAGGCACTGGAGAGGCAGAAGGGTCCCCCCTGAGGGTCCTTTGGGAACCAGGACATGAAAACACAGCCCAGAGGGGAGCACCCAAGAGAAGCCTGACTGCCCTGTGTGGGCATGGCTGCACGGGACCCCCAAGCAACGCATTATCACCCCCCAAAGAGCATCCCTGAGCAGGACAAGGGTGGCTGCAGAGCAGGAGCAGTTTGGAGGCGGCAGCGTGAAGGACACGGATGCTCCTGATCCATGGGCCGGGGGCAGGAGCAGGAAGGCTCCGGGAAGGAGCAGCGGCTGGCGAGGAGCGGAGCTGATGTGGTGCTGCAGACAAACCTGCCCGGAATAATAAACAGCCACGTTAGACCTTGTCCTGGCTGGGAACGTGGCCATGGGCTGGCACCGGAGCAGCCCTCGGAGCGGGACACAAGGAGGAAGCATGAAGGAGAGGAAAGCAGGATGCTCACAGGGACAAGGGTACCTAAACCACACCATGTGTGACACCGTTCATCATGCCAGGCTGCGTGGTACAGCCCATGGCGGGTGGCACAGCCCATGGCACCAGCACCCAGCACACACCAGGCTGTCGATGCTGCCTGAGCACTGGGGCCAGTAGGAAAGGGCATGGATGAATCCTCCCTGCTCAGCGCACTCAGACCCATGGTGAACCCACCCCAGCCCAGCACCAGGGATGGAGCAAGCCCTGAGCAAGCTCTGCTGGGTTCTACACCCATGGAGGAGAAGGGAAATTCACACCTGCCTCTCGCTCCAGCCTGGACACCTCCCACCATGCAGGGCAGAAAGCACCGTGCTGAGGAAGAGCAACACCAGGCACCACATCCCCTGCCCAGAGCCACAAATCCCAGCCGCTCGCCAGGCAGGATGAGGCCCATGGAGCAACCCTCAGGCCATGTGGAGCCCGGTTTATCCCATTCCCCAAGCATGTGCCTGGCTGCAGCAGTACAAGAGGCCACCCCCATTCACTACCCTTCACTCCCAGGCCCTCAGCAGCACCCACCACGGCTCGTCTCCTCTCCCACTTCAGGGATGGGGCATTGGAAACGCTGGGCTGCTGTAGGTTGCCATGGTAAACTCGATGTAAAGCTGTCAGGGATGCAGCTTATGTTGCCAAGCAGAGAAAGGGGGGGAAAAAACACCCAAACCCCCCAAATTCCCCATTCCTGGCCTGGCTTTAAGACTTTTCCCTTTGGAACTGGAAAGCTCCAATGGAAAGGCTGTGCTTCCACCAGTGCTCGCTCGCATCCAAGGAGGAGGAGCAGGACCACGGATGCCAGAGCAGGGCATGGTGTGGGGACCTGCACCTTCCACACTGACACCATGGAGCAGGGCCATGCCCCAAGCAAAGAGGGTGGAAGGGGCAAAGCCAGGCTGGAACACCCCAAACAGAGCGCTCAGAGCATCCTGCACCAGCAGCATGAGGGAGCCGGCTCTGAGCCCCTTCTCCCTGCAACACAAGCATCCTCCTTCCTGCAGGCCCTGGGTACTGAGACCAAACACCAGACATGGCCCAGCCCCGGGCAGGCACCTGCATCACCCACAGGACCTTACCTCCTCCTCCCATTGCAGCATCCGCTTCCTCCACACCAGCAGCAGTCTGTGGATGCCCCAGGGGCATTTCTCTTCCCAATGGGGCCACCCCAGCACCCACCAGTGACACCAACCACAGGATGCTCCATGGGTGCGGGAGACCCCAGTGACAGCAACACCCTAGGATCCCAGCCTGGTTTGTGTTGAAGGGATCTTAAATCTCCTCCAGCTCCAACCCCTGCTGTGGGCAGGGACCCCTTCCACTGGAGCAGCTTGCTCCAAGCCCCTGTGTCCAACCTGGCCTTGAGCACTGCCAGGGATGGGGCAGCCACAGCTTCTCTGGGCATCTCCCTTCCATCCTCTGAGCAATCCTTGCAGTGAAGCCTTCACCTTACAAGACTGGGGGGCACTAAACACGCACTGGAGGTGATAAAGGAGCTGGAAACACCCAGGAAGCGCTGGTGGCAAGCCAGGGGTAACCAAGCCACAGAGCACAGCGCAGGGCTGATGCTGCACCCAACACCAACCCCAGTGCAAACGTGCTGCAGGGCCAGGAGCAGCTCAAGGCTGCTCCCACTCCAACCCCCTGGGAAAGGCAGCATCACCTCCTCCTCCTGCATCCACATGGGGGATGAACCCACCATCCCCTCGGGCACAGCCTCAAGTCCCAATCCCCAGCTGAGTCCTACGCACCCTCAGTGAGTGGGGATGCTCAGAACCCACCCGGTTGCTGCAGGCAATGGGTGATGCCATCACACACAGTGGCAGGATCAGCCCCGATGCAGCATCACCACATCCCACAGAGCTGGAGCAGTTCTCCTACACCTTGTGCCAAGGAACACGCTTCCCACTGATGGGAGCAAACACCGGGGTTGTGTGGCACAAAGAGGCACGGGCAAGGGGACGAATCAGCCCTCCCATCACCGCGCTGGGATGGGTTTGGTTGTCACCAAGTGTGAGCACCAACACTAGGGTGACAGGGTAGGAGAGCTGCGGGGTTCAGCCTGGAGAAGAGAAGGCTCTGGGGAGACCTTAGAACCTGCTCTAGTGAAAGGTGCCCCTGCCCATGGCAGGGATTGGAACTGGAGGAGCTTTAAGGTCCCTTCAACCCAAACCATTCCATGATTCTATGGATGAGGAAGAAACCAGAGCATCACCCTGCCCAAGCAGTGCTACACCATCCTCCTCCTCTGTTACCAGGGTTTGGGGACCAA